CACACTCACACACACTCACACACACACGCACGCACGCACACACACACGCACACACACACACACACACACACACACACACACAGAGTTGATTGCTATACGCCGTAAAAACTCAAGCTTTTAGCCTAAAATGCAAAACATTTACGACATAAACTATGCAACAAGGACTCTCAAGCCTGCCTAGTAAAAGTGAAATCATTATAAATGTGGCATTCAAGTGTGCAACAACTTAAAGAGAAGTCTATGCCAAAAACCTAGACCACAAAATGCTCAAGACTGCAAAATATCAAGAGTTTCCCTTTACTTATTAATTATTGAATTTCGTTTTTTAAAACATCGAAATAAACCGAAAGCTTTTGAAACAAGTACTACTTTAATTTTTATCTTTTATCACAGAAGAACGAAAGTCGCAAAATTGAATGTTTATTACTATTTCCGGTGTACTTTCGTTTGTTGTGAAATTTCACCAGACCACAGCACGTTGGCCTCACTGTGTACTATCGCAGAAGTTTTGATTTGTTACAGCTTTGTGTATCTAAATTAAATCTTCAACATGCCGAAGGAAAGAGCCCAGAAGAAGTCGCGGATACACCAGCAAGTGGCCCAAGTACAGAGACAAGGTGATTTTAGTATTCTCAAGTCTTTCCCAGGCGTCCAGACGTCTTCTTCTTGTCTTGTCATAGAACTGTGTAGGCTAACTTGTCTTGTCTTAGGCCTAAGTCTTAGGTACTTATATTATGAAGACTTAGGTAGATCTAGATCTAGGTCTCAGGTCTTAGTCTTAGACTTGGACTTGAGTTTGAGACTGGAAGTTTAGATCCTAGACTCTAGGAGATAAACTAGAAACTTATACGAGGTGCCCATAGTCACGATTGGTTTGGTTTGATGGGTGGGGCTAGCCAGATTGAGGGCACACAACAAAGTCAAAGCAATCATTGGGAAAGACTTATGTAACGAGCGACCACCCCAACAAACACATAAATATATAGAGACCTAACCCTAACCCTGGTCCAACCCCTACTCCAAACCCTCTTCTATTCTACTTTTTTTTCGTAGTGGTCGCTCGTTGCGGAATGGAATTCCCCCCGATCATTGTAGCTCTTGTGTCAATCGCAGAAGTCGCTGCTTCAAACACATGAAGCTGCAGCGAGCACCTAGCACACCTCTGTGATTGACCCAAATACAGATAACGTATTTCCGCCATCTATTTTTGTCGTCTTCTGGGGCTTCCCTCGCCAGTTGACTAGATTTCACCTCCGTGGCAGGTCCACTTTGCCACTTGTCGTGCGATGGGCCTCATCACTATCCTAGGTCTAGGTTTCATCGCCAACTGCTTGGGCTGCGTGTGTGTGTGCGTACTTGGTGTGTGTGTACTACTTTGATGAGAAGGTAAATTTGTACAAGAATTGCTGAGATTGTTTATAAAAGATAACACAAATTAATACAGATTCTTGTCAACAGTTACTGGCGAGTCATGGCTATGGAAACCCAAGATTTTTGGGGGAAACCTTGGAAGACGACAATATAGATCGCGGAATATGCCATCTATATTTAGACCAATCACAGAGGTGTGCTAGGTGCTCACTCTAGCTTCATGTGCCTCAAACTCAAACTCTCAGAAAGTTAGTGAAAGCCTAAAAAAACAAACGCGTTTGTTTTCAGGCAACGAATCGAGCGATCTGTTTGTCGATCCTCTATGGGCACCGGGTATAGATTTAGAGAGGCTACTAGCGATAGGATGATGACTATACTATGATCAATTATGATGTGTGAGTGGGTTGGTCAAACTGAAGTTAATGTGTTGTAATGTGTGCTATTGTGTTTTGAAACAGGTTCCATATTTCACTTTGCATATTGCCATTTCATCATTTTGCAATCTTCCAGTTAGAGGAACCTTTTTACATGATTCAGTTGGATAAAAAGGGTTGGGTTAGCACAAGAAGCACACTATTATACACCCCTAACCCTAACCTTACTTTGTTACCGGAATCAAGCAAATATAAATAAAAAGTTGCGAACTACAAACACTTAAGCTGTGAAATATTTTGTCCTGAAATGGATTTTTTTTTTAGCAAATCTTGCCGGTCTCAAAGAAAATGTAGGCAGTTTTGAAATTATGCCATTCAAAAATGAGATTCAGGTGTGTAATATAATGATTTATAAATAATCCCCCTGTTTCTAGATTTGCCGGTTTTTATAATTATGTTTCTTTGTTTTCCTTTCTCAGGTATCTCCTTCAGAACAGAAATTGGTCAGCACATCCTGAAAAATCCAATGATTGTCACAAGTATGGTTGAGAAGGTACTTAATACAAACAATGTAACAATGTTGTTGTTGTTTGTGGTTGTTGTTTTTTTAACACTTAAATTAAGCTATTCCCTTTTTAGAATAGATCTTTTTTGACTTTATGGTGGACTATTATGCGTCATATATCATGTAGTTGAATATTTTTCCTGTCTGCTGTTTTTAAAATAAAAAGATAGAGAGAGAGATGTTTGCTTCGTGTCTAGCAAAGTGAAGAATCAAGAATCTCTTAGAGCTGGAGTCCATTTTATACGTTTAAAACTGTTCGGTCACTTTTTCCAGGCTGTTGAACTGAGTCAGAATAATTGTATTATATATGAATGAATCTTAATACTTCAGTTGCTGTAGAATATTGCTCTTTTTCTCTCTTTTCACTAAGGGTAGGCCTACAGCATTTGTAAATTTTTATTATTCATTATTACTGAGAGTGATTCATTTAAGTTTGAATAATGGCCCAACTGAGGGCAAAGCATTTGATTGTTTGTTGTCGGATATTGATTGAAAGAAAAGCATGGTGAAAATGAAACAGCGATAAAGAAATTTTCCTTTTTATTGCGATATTTCAGGCAGCATTGCGGCCTACAGACGTGGTGCTTGAGGTGGGTCCCGGCACAGGAAACATGACAGTTCGACTTCTGGAGAAGGTGAAGAAGGTGAGTGTCTTCCTATCTTGTTCTTTCAAAAAAGAAAATCAATTTGCTCAGCAGTACAATAGTAAGGTTGTTTGTGTTCGAATTGTTGGTAAGAATGATAAAATGTAGTTTACCTTGACAGTTGATGGAGGCTGTCAACTGTTTTGTTCAACGTTGTCTGGGCTGGAAAATTCTGCCTTTTTTTTCAGTAAGCTTTTGATTGATAATGAAGAACAAGTAATGAACTTTTGATGCTGGGAGGGAGGAGACGGAGTGAAGACGAAAATTTTGTGTGTGTGTGATTTTAAATGATCTATTGAAAGCAAAAGTTCTGTTTGAACATGCTCCATAATACATAAGAGACCCATTGAATACTTTCTTTGTGAATGAAAATATTTTAGTTTGTCCTGTCAGCATTGTCTATCTTAGTTTTCAGTTCTGTCTTTCGGTTTTTGAGTTGGGGGTTGGGTTTCATGGTGATAATATATTTTGCTGTATTGGTTAATACTGTAAATGTCAAGAATTTTTAGTTTTGAATGTTATAAAAAAAAAAATTACTTTTTTTTCCCAGGTGGTGGCGTGCGAAGTGGACCCTAGAATGGTTGCTGAAATTCACAAAAGAGTTCAGGGAACGTAAGTGGCACTTGTTTTTTTGTATTTGTGTTATAATTGAAGTGTTGAATTTAAGCCACATTTTTGGGTGAATGAACATCGTTTAAGATATTAGTGCCTAAATATAGCTCAAGAAGGACACTCCTGTCTGGTCATAATTTTCTTTGTCTACCTGCCAGTGAATCAGTATCTCATTAGTTTGCCCTTATTATTTTCGCTGCTAAAAGCCTATTGTATGACGTTTTTGTACATGCTTTTGTTTAACAGAAATTCATTAAAAAAATCATAAAGTTGATGTACTTGTTACTTCCCATTTGTTTTCTACCATAGTCTGTGCAGTACTATGACTAATGCCTTCTGTGCTTCTCCGAGACCTCTTCCGGACTTGCAGCGATCATCAAAGTACCACATGCCTTTCACTAACCCGGACATAGATCAACACTCTGTCTCTCTAGTTTTCAAACATAGATGAAATAGTTCATGGAATCTTGTTTCTTGCTGTGTCACTATGAATGAGAAGCAAATTGCACCCCTTTTAAATGAATTGCACTTCTTAGGTTTTGTCAAATCTACTTTCCACTATGCTCGTAAGGTTAAAACTTTGTGGCACTGTAGGGGTAGATATTAACGGTATGTTTACTTGATTTATTCAAGATAGCAGATGTAAGTAATGAGTATGGCAGACTGTTCTTTTGGGGCTTATTTTGGTAAATTATATATTTCTTTTTTTTCCCCACAGTCCTGAGGCTCCCAAACTTCAAGTGATGGTTGGTGATGTGTTGAAGACAGAACTGCCTTTCTTCGATGTTTGTGTTGCCAACTTGCCCTACCAGGTAAATGTTTGGCTGTAGAAGTGGTGTTGTTCGTATCTGTGTCACATAATTTTTAAAAACATAACAATTTTTAAAATAAAGTAAAAGGTTTGATTTTAAAATATAAACAATCGTATTTATTCATGCATCTACGGTGGTTTCATTTTATTTCAGTATTTTTTGTCTAGACATTAACATCTCATGTTGAAAAATCTGGCACTCATGGAATATGTTCAATAAAATACATTTACTTTTTCAGATTTCATCTCCTTTTACCTTCAAGCTTTTGCTACACAGACCATTTTTCAGGTATGCTGTCCTTTGTTTGATTAAATTTTAGAATAGATAATCCTTTTATAAAACTAAAACATTTTATGGGGGTTTTTTCTGCCTTTGTAACACAATTTACCAGCCTATTCTTGCTTAAAAAGATGTGATGGCTGCATGCAATGCTAACCTTGTTGACTTTTAGTGGGAGAATGTCAGTCGATTGATTGTATTTTCATTTGCTTCTCTTCAGTTCACTCAGTCGATTGATTGTATTTTCATTTGCTTCTCTTCAGTTCACTCAAAAAACTATTTGAAGAGCTCAGTAGGAAAGCTTTTGATGTCACATTTTTTTAAGCTTTTGGGAAATCATAAATTTTAAGTTTTCAGACTTGGCACTAATGTTTTTTTATATTATTTTAGTAAAGCCTGTTATTTATCATTATTTGACCTTTAGCCTTTGTCTGTTTTACCATAGTTCTTTCATTTCACTTTAAATACTTCAATACTTCAAAATATCAGTATGAAGATGATACATTCGGAATGGTTGTCACAAGTTGGTTTTTTTCACTGAACACTTCAAATACATGCCTCTGTCTGTGGCAGGTCCGCGGTGCTCATGTTCCAGCGAGAGTTTGCCCAACGACTTGTGGCCCAGCCGGGAGACAAGCTGTACTGTCGGCTGTCGGTGAACACTCAGCTGCTGGCGCGCGTGGACCACCTCATGAAGGTAATGTGGCATGTCTGTTGCGGGTCGGGTCAGGTTGGGTCGCTTAACTCTTTATCTCCAAGGGGGGTAAACTCACTACGTCGGGGCCCTTTTTTGGTACTAAATCTAAAAATGACGAGACCCTCACTAAATGGGTCATTAAATCGAAACTCGCGAACCAACTCGCGTACCTATTATGATAGTACTTCATCTAATGAATGAACTTCCGGTAAAAGAAACCTGTTTTCGGCAATTGCCGAAAAGTAATTTGATGCTGGAGTCGTTGTAAAGGAATGTGCCCGAGCCTCTGTCAGCGGCTTGCCGGAGATAAGAGTTAATGACGGCTCCGGTGCACTCTATGAATAGACCCTTCCTTTATCGTGTCATTAATGGCAGCTTCAGTGCACAGTACAGATAGACCCCTCCCTTCTTGTATCAAATTTGACAAGTGCGCAATGTTTTTTGTTCATAAAACATACCTTTCACAACACGACAATTTACTTTCATAATGGCTTCAGGTTCTGACTGCTGTATATCATGGTTGCTGCGTTGATGGGTTCCTGAATTCTACAGATATGGGAAAATGTCAATAGTTTTCCAGATCTTTCAGTTTCGGCCTCACCAACTCTACACTGTCCTTTACTGCATTCCGCATCCCCCCCCCCCCAAAAAAGATCCTGCTGGGTATAAATTGTTGTGCAAGGCAAATTAGGGCCATTCCATGAAAAAGGAAGCTGCCAAGTTTTAAGTTTAGAAAGGTTGCCCAGATTGAAGAGAAAAAGACAGAATTTTCTGTTATTTTGGTTTACAGCTGTTTTTGAATCAACCATGCTTGGTTAAGCAGACTCCGTTGCATTTGTATATTCTATTTCCTCCGCCTGGTCATGCTGGAAAGAGTGGAAAAAGTTAAAGGGCGCCACTAGTAGGTCCTATTTCTTTTCTTTCCCTCTGTTATTTCTTTCTGTCTGTCTTACTTTTTTCCTGCATTAAATGACCATCATTACCCCAATGTGCTTCTTTTTACTCAATGACAACAGGTGGGAAAGAACAACTTCCGACCTCCCCCTAAAGTGGAGTCCAGTGTTGTCAGAATAGAGCCAAGGAATCCTCCGCCGCCCATCAACTTCAAGGTAAGTTTCCTTGTTCTATACAACAAACTCTCTGAAAGTCATTGTGATACTTTGTTTGTTGCCTGAAGTCTTTTCTCTTTGTTCGTCGCAAGATGACAGATCGCCATTGTTTGGTCCTGTTTCTGTTCTTTCCCTCGTTTGTAACAGCAAAATCTGTCTTTTGATGTTCATAAAAATTAGTGACTGGAATGGATCTGGGTAGTTTTTATTTTTGTGGGGGAGATCTTCTTTTGCTCATTAATTTGCTGGGGTTGGTAGAGTCCCATAGCTAAAGAAAAGGTGAAGTGGAGGGGGAATTTCAGACTAAAGATGATTATTTTCTCTTCACTGTTTATTTGAAGTCTGGAAATGTACAGTTCACTGGCCTTGAAACACCCATTCCTTCTCCCATTTAGTACATCTGCAAAAGCCATAGCTTGTGTGTGTGTGTACGTGGTAAAACACCAAACCGATATGCCAGGATCTGGACAATAAAAATGTATCTCATCTTAGAAGTATTTTTTGTGCCATCTCAAATGTCTTTTTTTGTTTCCCTTACAGGAATGGGATGGTTTGATAAGGATTTGCTTCTCAAGGAAGAACAAAACAATTGGAGCATCTTTTAAGTAAGTGAATCTTTTTCCTCAGATGGTCTCAAAGCCTTTTTTTTTTTTTTTTTGTCTTTAGGTTTCAGGTTTTGATACTTACTAATGTATGATTGATTCTGCAGTTCTCTCTTTCCTCACTTCCTTTGTTCATAGTCTTTCTCTCTAGCCATAATCATAACTGTAGAATATTCTGTTTTCCGACTAACCGTTTCCTATTCTAGTGGTCTAGAAGATTCAAAATGTCTTTTAAACAGGAACACTTTCCAAAAAAAATAATAGAAGTTGCATCGCAAACTAAATTTCTAAAATACATATATTACTAGCATCTGCGTTTGTCGCGGCCGCGATTTTTGGCGGGTTTTTTTTGTCCACGAATCGCGGACGCGATTTTTGCATTTTTCAAAAAGAAAAGGCTACTTCATAACATAGATGTGTATTTTGATAATTTTAAGGTGTCCGTGTATAGTTATTTTCACGCGAAGAATGATAATAAGTACATTACATACTATTTATTATATTGTTGTTTGTCTTTTATTTTTCCCTCTTTGTTAGTGTGTTAATTTTTGGGGGATTATTTTTCTGATGTATGTGTGCGTGTGTTTATACAGCGTAATGTCATTTAATTTGATGTTCCTACATTAAAAAATATATATATATACATGTATAAATGTGTAATGTTAGTATTGTTAGAGCGTGTCTCCACCAAAACTGAATACTGGCACTGGCAGGCCCCTTGTGTGTGATTCCATACTTTACATGTAATATCCTGTACTTTTTCTTGAATTAAACACGTTTATGGTTAAAACGGCCAATCTTCAGATATGTGGACATACGCCTTTATTTGTTACTTTTTGCGGTTGTTTGTGGTTGTTCTAATTTTGATTTCATTCTGTTGCGAAACCTTTATTTTTTACACTCTGTGTGGCTACAAATAATATTTTGGATGCTTAAAACAGAGCACAAGAAATTCTGGTGCTTTAGATTAAGTTACATTTATCAATATATTACGTCATCACAGCAAGTTGAAAGCTTGAAGATTAATGGCAACTTTTGCCATTTTTTGTGGCAACTTTAGGACAAAAAAATGGTAACAAACGCAGATGCCAGATATTTTACATATGATTATTTTTAGCATTGTAAATCTGCAAATTCTGACATTTGATGTAATATTGTTTCTTGTGGTAGCGTACATGGAATATTATTTTTTTTCCTTCTTACTATTCCTTTTATTTGCTGAGACCAGTGGAGCAGCAGAACTTATTCCCTGTGACGGTCGTTGTGCTTGGAGACGTGTGTACCGGAACCCCTCTGTGCTCATACTCATTGTCATTGTCACAATTTTTTTGTCTTTATTTTTTCAGGTTTTCTAAAGTGTTGGAAATTTTGGAGAAGAATTACAGAGTGTCGTGTTCAGTGAGAAACATAGTGAGTGTTCTGTCTTAGGTCTCTGCTCACTGTACAGGCAGGTCAAACGCCCCTTTCAACACTGTAAGGGTATAACAACTAGGAGACTAACCATTACACTTCAGACATGAGTGGTTGGCAGATGCTGTGATGTGGTTTGCTTCTTCTTTCCTGTCAAACATCTTTCGTCCTCATCGCTTCCTCTTTTTTTCTATGAAGATTACTCTCAAGAAATACCTCTATTTTCCGGCACTCTTATGACCTATTTGTGTTACAAGTACCATAAAACTAAGACTCTCATTTTTTTAAAAACTTAAGCCCTCATTTGATCTTATGCAGTTGCGAACGCCGTAAAGCTCTTACTAAATAAAACACACACAAAAAAGTTCACTTTAAGTAGAGGACATTTCTAGTTACAATTATAACGGAAAGTTATTTTTGAGCTCATGTTTGTGCTCAACATAAGCAGCAGAAAAGTTAAAGCTTGATCAAAATGAACATTATTGAATTCAGCTGTTGACAATAAATATTATGTCGTGACTTTTGAGTTACAGAGAAATAATTTTTTAGGAGTGCGCAGGGAATTCTGAAGTATTCTTTTGTTAATTATCAAAGGGTTGACAAAGTGGTATAAGTTGTAACATTTTTATTTAAAAGTATCTTTACTAACACGCACTTCGCAACTCCCCAGCCGGTGCCCGAGGACTTTAACGTGAAGGACAGAGTGGTGGAGCTGCTGCAGAAGGGAGGGTTTGAGGAGAAACGTGCCCGAAGCATGTCCATCGATGACTTCATTGAGTGAGTTGGGTTTTTTTCTGCGGTGGCTTTGTAGTGTGATTTGACAAAAAACAGAGGAGCCATTTAATTCACTGTTATTCCACTATTTTCTCTAAAAGAATAGCTTTGTAGTGTGACAAAAAACAGGATCCATTTAATTCCCCGTTATCCCACTATTTTCTCTAAAAGAATAGTTTATATTCTTAACATATTTTTGTTGTTGTTTTAACCCAGAATATTTGTGTCTATCAACTGTATTTTTGTTTGCAGATGCAGCTTTGTAACTTTTCAGATATGTTCTCAAAACCCCAGACACATCCCTGAAATAATTCTTGAAGGTGCTCAGGTAATTTTGAAAAATCTGATTTTTGGTTGCCCACGGGGTGACAAAACTTTTGACTTCAGGTCAGGTGTCTGAGAATAAAAGACAGAACCCTGCATTTTAATTCGATCAAAACTTTAATGTTGAAGTTCTCATATCGTGTGTTGTGTTTTCTGAGTGCTCTAAAATTATGTGTTGTCCAAACAGAAATTCTTAAAAACAGTTCTTTTTATTCTTTTTTTTTCAACTGACAGGCTGCTGAATCTCTTCAACGAGGCTGGCTTTCATTTCCAGTAGGCTGAGCAAGGCCACTGTAACTATGAGCCTCTGGTGATTGGATCATAGGCTGGATCGATAACAACAACAGGAGGGGATGACTGGAATCATCTGGGCATTTGTGAACATAATAATTTAATATTACAAGATTTTGTAGTTTTCAGCAGTGTAATTGATAAACTCTTCCCCACACTGTCTTTCATCCTCCCCCCTTTTCTCAAAGATTTCGTTATATTGTTTGATTTCACTGCTGTGTATGATATTGTATTGACCACAAGGAAGGAGGAGTGGGGGGGGGGGGGGGGGACTCTCCTGTCGTGGGGTGCCTCGCATACACCACAGACTGTTTGTAGCAGCATCTTTTCTCCTTACATTGTCTTCTCTTCAGCTCTCTCGCTGATCTGTCAATTGAAGGTCTGTTCTTAAATTAATAGACCACTGAAGCCCTGTGCTGTCTGGTGTATCTTCAAAATTACCTACCTTTGTCTCATGGAGTACTTACTTGGGGATGTTCATGTTCAAAATTACCTATTTGTGTCTTGTGGGATACATACCCTGTTTAATATTACACAAGCATAAACAAAGTCACACCAACTTCCCGATTTAAATGCCATTCAGCTGTCACACACCCACTCCTCCAACCGTGCACACACACACACACACACACACACATGTGGGTAACTCCTCTCACACACACACTCTCACACATACACAGGTGGGTAACTCACTCTCACACATACACAGGCAGGTGGCTGGAGGATGTGACTAGTTGGTTCTACTTCTTTGTTCTCCCCCTGCTTTTTTGTCTGTCTTTCCTTTTCCCAGCACAAAATGACCTTGTTGTGTCAAAGTGCTTCTCTTCACTCAAACAAACAAATCCTTTTACGTTTGTACCAGTATGAATGTCTATCTCTATGCCAATGTGTATAGTATATGTATATAAATTACAGGACATGTTTCTGGTCATGTCAAGCCAACTAATATGATAAATAACATGGATGTGATCTTTCATGGGATGAAAAATGAATGTGTCTGTCTGTTTGTGAAAGTTGAAAAGATAAATCTGTTATGGCTGACTCGATGAGGTTTTGAATGTGTTGTTGACTAAGGTCAAACTGAAATAAAAGTGTAAAAGATAAAAGAAATGGAACTTCTTGGGTTTTTTCCTTCAGTTTTTGTTGTCGGTAGGGTGTCATCTTTACCACAGTGGCCGACTCATTAGCCCTTCACTGGCGGTGCTCTGGTGTAGTTTGCTCCTTATTTCTTATCAAACGTCTACATGTATCCGCCTTATCTCTTCTTCTTTTCCTTTTGCTACTTTCTAGTAAAACCTCTAATCTTGTGCACTTATATGAACTATTTTTGTTGCAAGTGCTGTAAATTCTTAAACTAAAAATCTAAACACTGGACAAGACGGCGCGCTCATAATATGACCTCCCCCCCTCCCCCCCAAAAACCACTGGACAGTAACAGTGATTAGTTGAAATGACATGCGAGTGTTTTTTACACCCCTATCAACACAATTTAGATCATCTAGGAGGCGTGCTTCCAACCCTGTCTGTCTGAGCCTGCCTGTGCCGGGACTTACTGGGAGGGATATACAACATCTCGTCAGAAAGACCGTCAGATACTCGATTAAAATTTCTCCCAACTTGGGTCTCCTGTGTGCAATAGCGAAGCTCCAAACTGCTACACCACAGACACTGTTGTAGTGGTCAGTGCACACAAAAAGGTACTTGTGGGTGGTTGGCAGGTGCTCTGGTGTGGTTTGCTCCTTCTTTCCTATCAAACAATTATCATCTTTATCTTTCTACTTTCTTCCTTCTTTTTCATGTTTGTTACTCTCTTGTAACACCTCTAATCTTTGGCACTTATTTGACCTTATTGTGTTGCAAGTGCCGTAAAACTTACTAAAACTAACTAAACAATAGCAATACTTTACACATAATTAACAGAACTAAGACACAACCAAGAAAAAGCCACATGACATTGCAATAGAGTTCTTTTAATGTGCTTTAAAATAATAATTCATATGTACATACAATATTCACTAAATGGTATGAAAAAAACCCAATGAATGTACAGTAGGGGATGTAAAAGTCTATTTCTCACAAGTTTTTACATTGAGATTGAGAAGATTCGGGTTGGCTACTGTCGGTACACACAATGACTCCACGCCAAAGAGGTTCTATATATATATATATACATACAGTACTAGAGTTCACGGCAGTGATATCGTGCTTGTCAGACATTGAGGCATTCCTGCCCTCAACGGCATAGCCGGCGTGCCCAAATTAAATAATTCAAGTAAGCCCCCACCCTGCTCCCCATTTCTTCTTCTTCCTCGTTCTCGATGACAGCAGCTAGACAGTCAGTCCGATGTCGGGCACAAACTGTGCAGTTCGCTCCAACTCTGACAGACTGCCATAGAGCTTTCTCTCAAGGGGAGCCACATTCTGCCACGTCTGTGTACGAAGGACCTGCTCCCCATGAGCTCTAGTTTATTTAACACCCCCCCTGCCCCCATATCTTAATGCAAGCTTGTAGATTTCCTCTCAAGAACATCTCTAGACAACTCCATAAGTACTCATCCGTCTGTTGTTCTTGCCCTCAACGCTCAGGGTCTCAAAGAGGGCACATGCAGCTCCCCCTCTTTCTCTTTCCCCCCCCCCCCCCCCCCCCCCCCGGAAAACTATGGAGTGAAGAATCTGAATAACTATTTCAACAACTTGGCTACAGCTTCAATCAAAACAGGATCTGAACCCCTCTCCTCTGCCTCAAAAACTGCTTTACTATGTCTTCTTAGTCTTACAAGCTGTTGAAGCTGAGCTTACAACACTTCAAGACACACATTACCGACAACATTAACATAAACTTCCTGACTTTATAAAAAAAAATGTTCTCATCATTCATGCCAATGCCTCACTCTTACGTGTACACATATCTAGCTGAGAGAAACAATGTCGGAGCTATTATAAGACTAGTCCTACCTGCTCTGACAGCCACATGTCCAAGACAATCACCTGTACAAACGACAACTTCCCATTTCCCTCATTGTGGTTGTTTTTTTTCATATTATAATTATAATGATTTCATCCAAGACACCAACATGTCTAAAACAACCACTTTTCTCCTCAACAGAGTGTGACTGTCTTGGACAATTTCAACTGTAATTACATACAATGTAGGAAGAGATGCCACCCAGTCTAACACATTTACAGAACTAGTTGAGTTGAGACCTTCAAAAGAACTGTTGGGATCACATCTACAGAGCAGAGTTCCACTAGCTGAAAATGAAACAAAAAGTTCTGAGCACTAATTAAAGACTTTCAGACACATCCTGGAAATGTGGCACGCACATCCAATGAAATCCAGCATGCACATGCTTTTCTAAGACTAAGACAATATCAATAGTCACTCAGAAGTTTTCGGTAGAAAAAAGGAGACGAGAGGGAAGAGGGGCGTGGGAGAAATGACCAAATGTCTGCATGGACTGACAAAAGTGACGCTAGCGACAGGTTCAGTGAGACCAGCACTGTCTACAGGAATGATTAGGAAGGGAAGAGAACAAATAAGAGACATCCCGACGGGTGGATGCAAGACTGACAGACACAACATCAACATCAACAATGCATTACGGTGTTTGTCAGAGTCTTATACTCAGCTGTCGATCTGGCGGTCTCACTGGAACACTTTATCATAGAGCAGTGGAGGAGAACTGGACAGGGGGTACGCCACTGCAAGGTATACATGCACACATCATACACACACACACTCTCATGTCCATGCACACATACACATACTCTCTCATGTCCATGCATACACACACACTATTCAAATACTGTATACTGCTGACTTGGGCTATGACTATATGCAGGGCAGGTCAAAAGTAAACAGGCAGTAACTAACGCTACACTGATCCTCTTGCCTACACGACACGACTACACACCTGAAGACTACTGGGAGGGGAACCGGTGATGTCAGAGACTCTTAAATATAATTAAATACTCTCTGGTGATGTCACATTTTCCCAGTAACTGAAAAATTCACCCCATCATTTCAGGTTTCTCCTGTGTGTACAGTTCTTTGAAGTCTTTGTGTTCTGTTGGTGACATATTTATTTATTGGTTTCTGTAGATGAATTTCATCTTTTCATGACTGCATTGTGTTGCACAGTAGGTAGGGCCTACTTAATTAAAAAACAAAGGAATAGATTTTGACATCACCAGACTTTCCCCTGTCGTCTTCACTTGGAACAAGAGCAAATGCCAACTAAGTAATCCTGTAACAATGTTACCAGGTTACAGGAAATCAAAATCCTGTCAAAGAAAAACTGTCAAGGCCCTACAAAAAATTTAAGAATGCAAGTTAACAAAAAAAAAAAGACAGAAGAGCTGTTCCAAACTGTTAGCTAATTTGGATAGCCAAAGCTGATCAAAGCTCACGGATGCGTTGAAAAAACTGGAGAGAAACTGCTATCTAAATGTTTTTCAACCAAAGGGCAAGCAGTGTTAAAGAGGTCATCTGCCTATCAAAAAACTGACAGAGAAAACAACTTCTATCAAGCCATAAAAAATACTTCAGTCGAAGGTGCAGAGGCTGTCGAATATATATGGGCAAAACTAAATTGTGCTTTGACTACATCGTAAACTACCTTGAGAAAAATGTCAAGCGGTTTGCGAACTCGGGCTGTATTCACCTCACCTACACATGCACTCTAATTGAACATGAGAAACGATTACTGAAACCTGAGTACGTGTAGGATTGAATTAAAAACAACATTGGCTGGTTGAAAAAAAACCAACTCACATCAGGATGCATGGCACCTCTGAGGTCAGTTCCTGACTGTTAACAACAGAATCAAAAACACTTTTTTGTCAATGTGGGGTTTTTTTACGCCCCCATCAACACACTTTAGATCTTTTGTGACTCACATACTATGCTCCAGTATGAAGCTGATATTTTTTCACTATCTTATATTAAAGTAGTAAAACTATTTGACTAATTTAGGTCAAAGTAAGAAATCAGCATCAGTCAAAACATTAGACACAATAAACATAGTACCAGACGCTTATCACCACCAATATATAATAAAGGGACTTTTTCAGACTACACTCAAGGAGCCAAACCTATTTCAGGATATCAAGACAAACGAAAAATCTCAACAGCTACCCACGTTTTCTGACTGTCTCTAATGTTGGAGAAAAGATGAGCGACTGACTAGAGAGAGAAACTACCCCAGTATCTGCTCGAGCAGTAAATGAGAAGGGGCATGGGGGTACAATAGACAATTATTTTTTTCACACGAACAGGAACTGTTTAACCTGAAAAAAATTCTGGAACCACCAGCTTCTATTTATCTTCCACTTCTTACCCAATCTGTAATCCCCCGGTTTTGTTCACATATAATATTTTCATGTAGTACATGAGTACATGCATATATTATTTACATGTAGTACATGAGTACATGCATATATTATTTACATGTAGTACATGAGTACATGCATATATTATTTACATGTAGTACATGAGTACATGCATATATTATTTACATGTAGTACATGAGTACATGCATATATTATTTACATGTAGTACATGAGTACATGCATATATTATTTACATGTAGTACATGAGTACATGCATAATATATATATATATATAGAAATATTTACATGTATTACAGGCATACAAGCAACTTGGAATCTGTGTACACACAACGGGATTAGAAGCACGACATTTGAACTGCAATATAAATGTACTATGCCCAAAGGCACGACCTCTGAACTGCAATAAAAGTGTAGCGCGCTCAAGAGCACGACCTCTGAACTGCAATAAAAGTGGTGCACTCAGAGTCATAGCCAGACTTATCACATCAACACGGTACCGGTGTACACTTTGAAAATACAGGGGGGGGGGGGAGATGAGGACAAGACATTATGTATGAGGAAACAGCAACCGTTTGTCGCGGTTGGTCACAGCCGAGGGGTACACACAACCAGTTCTACATGGCATATAATCATCTACATGCGGTGAGTGTGTGTGTGTGTGTCTACTAGTGAGTGTGTGTCTGCTCGTGAATTTGTGCCCTTTTGCTTGTGTGGTCAGCGAGTGGTTGAAGATCAGGAACAGGTTCTAAACTTGTGCCTTGCTGGGGAGGGACATTTCGAAAAACAGTTTTCTTTAGCTGGCGATTTAAAAAAAATAATGTGAAAACTGACCTCGATTATGATTAAAATGCTACCTGCTACAGTGGGGTTGGACATTCTACTTTTCACTGAAATAAACCAGCCCCTCATGTGAGAGACACGGTTGACAGAGAAAATAATATCTTGATTGTGATTCAACTGACAACTGACAGAGAAAAAAAATTACATTTTTACCAATTGTTTAGAGTCAGTTTGCTGCTGGGTGCATTTAGGAAAATTAGGCAAAGTAGGCCTACCTTTTCAGAGGGTCCAATGTCCTATCGCTGAAAAGGGGAAATGAACCTGAAACCCTCTGATGGTATGTCCAATGTCATTCTTCTAGACTTGTATATCTCAAAATGACACCACTTTCCTCTCAAGATCAGACTCAAACTAGAGCAACAATAATGTGTCCAATCTCATTTTAGGACTGTCAGATCTCCCACAAAGCCAAGACAAGTTTAGGAACCGCATTCTAGGAACCCAGTAGTGTGCGTATGTGGATAAGTATGGTAATGGTAATAACAGTTCATGAAGGAAGCATGTACGTGTATAAAATCAATGGTGCGTGTACACGGTACATCATCCTCTGCCCTACATATCTACGGTCACAGCAACGTATATGGTTTTTCTTTCCCAAAAATTCTGAAAGTCGGAAACAACAATTCATCACACGGCAACATGAGGTAAACAAGTTTGCTGGTAGGGAACATGCGCAACAAATACATTCAACAACTCGTCAATTCACTCAAAGGAATTTTAAAAAACAAAAAAACACACAGGAAAACTGGCACCAATTACACAATCAAATAAACAGCTACACATACGTCATAAAATATCAACTTCACAGGCAAGATATTTCTTCTTTTTTTTTTTTGGAGTCCTCTTAACATACAAAAGTTCATTATCTTTACACACATCAGGCATGCTTAAATTAAATTATTACAGAACTGACTTGAGACTTAATCAATTGCACCATTCCATAAAATATAATGAGAAACAGGAAAGGAGAATTCATTTTTCTACAACAACAAAAAAATGTTTGGCGTTTGAACGCTCATTTCAATGCTGATGACACTTCACCTGACAATACTTGGCTTTCCATGTTCAATACATTCTGGGATCATGACACAGCCAAAAAGAACCATAGAAAAAAAAGATACTATTGAAAGAATAAATCTCATATTGCATGGTTTACATGATACAGTCTTCACAAATAACAAATTTTATTTAAAAAATCAAATCAATAATAATAATAACTGCATGTAAATAGCGTATATCAATGCTATACAGCATGCTCTTTACTATTACCCCAACAGACCCTAGAACACCCAGAAACATAGCTGGCTTCCCGCGAAGCATTCAGAAATGTAGAAAAAAATACAAAAAAGTAGTTGCTACATCTCACCCCCCAAAGTGACACGTCTTTCAAAACACAGGCAGAGTCCCAGACTTCTCAGCCTTTTCGCACACACTACAGGAACAGTCAAACCTGCTCTGACAAGGGCCACCTGTCCAAGACAACCACCTGTACAAAACACCACTTCCTACTTCCCCCCTTGTGGTTTTTTCCTCTTATATTACAATGCCAGTCTCCAGGAGGACTGCTGTCTCCCATGACTTTTAAAAAGTTTTAGTAGAGGCTTTACCGCGTTCGCAACTGCATAAGGTCATAGGAGCGCCAGAAGAATAGAGGAGTTACAAGACAGTAACAAACATAAAAAAGAAGAAGGGGAGATAAGGACGATAGATGTTTGATAGGGAAAAAAGATGACTTTTCTCCTCAACAACGGCTGGCTGTCTTGGACAGGTCCCACTGTATTTCCTAAGGCCAGGGACCCCACAACAGACACACAGGACAGCCTGAACTTGAGGCACCCACTGATATAAATATAGAAAATACCCACTCCTTATCATAATGCCCCATAGGGAAGAATAATAATAATAATTCATGACACCCACACATATAATATCATAGACGGGACCATTAATATTTCATCACCCTAAAATTACAAAGTTCTATCTGCTTAATACCTATTCTTGAGAAATTTGACAAGTAAAATTTTGAGTTTCACAACATGGTTAAGCTTTGACGAATGCAATTCTTTGAATATCTCAATAACAACTCCGAATAACCTTAAGATTTTGAGAGAGCAGATAGAACATAATATGGTTTCTGACATCATGGTCTGAGTAACTCAAAACGGCCAAAAATGTCAGACAGACTTTCGTAATTCTAAGGTAGCAACTTGTCTACAACAAACACCCTCGGCAAAACAGTCAACTGAACAGAGTACATAGATCCACCATCTCCAACAACTAAAGAAAAAACTTTCACTGTTTAATCGTCACCTCAAGGCAGTTCAAGACCACCTTATCTTCCTTCTCTTCATCACATTATCATCAAACAGTCGAGAGATTCAGGATGAACCAGGAGAGAACGAAATCTTTTCCACAGCGATTGAAAAGAAAAATTGTACAAATCTACAAAAAACACAAAAGAGAACTGGTTAACTTGTACTGGTTACATTATCGTCTACTTACAGGCTACAAAACGCATCATAATAATAATAATAATAAAAACATAACAACAAATACTTCTAAGCATAAATAACACAACTTCAGAAAGCACCAGATTATAAATTAATGGGATTTGTAAGTGAACAGCGGAGAAACCCCACAACGACCTTCCGGAATGCATCGACCTTCTCAAAGAATTCTCAGGCCCAAAAAAGAAGTATACTGACGCTGAGGACATTTTTTCATGTCCATTTGCTGAAGCTCGGAGTTTTATTTAACACAAAGTAGTCCACACTAAGAGCAAAAAAGTTTGTTTGACCCCCCCCCCCCCCCGTAAATCATTTTCCATGACAGCAGGCAGCCTAACAAGAAAAATAATATTCTAGGGAGGTTAAGAGGAGTATCTGAGAACCCCCTCAGGATTGAACCCTGGCCTTCCACACATTGATGCAGTCCGCCGTAACCACCAGCCCCACAATAACCAGCGTTCACACAGTAACTAGCTCAGCATTCACGTAAAAAAAAACCAAAAACCCCAAACAATTTTGTTCTTTGCTCACTTCACATGATGCACGGCAGAAAAGAAAAAGCTTGAGAATCTTCCTCAAGTTGAATATAGAAGTGAAAAAAAAACAACTGAAGAAAGGAATCTCAGAAGATTGCGAGACATATCAACAATCATGGCACTACACTTTGCTCTGTTCTCCACCGAGTCCACAACGGCTCACAACATTTCGGCATATTGCAAAACTTTCTCTTCAAACCAGCCCTTGATGAGTTTAGTTTGTTTTAGTAAGAAAGAGTTTTAAGATAAGATAATACTTTACGGCACTTGCAGCACAATTAATTCACAGAAGTGCCGAAGATTAGAGGTGTTACTAGAGAGTAACATACAAAGAAAGAAAAGGAGAGATAATGACGATAGACGTTTGAGAGGAAAGAAGGAGTAAACCACATCAGAGTGCCCAACCGTCACCCTCATACTAGATGATTACATCAGGTGATCCCACATACTCTGCATATAATTTTTTGAGTACAATATGCTACATAAAATTCCACCAAAAAAAAAGGCAAAACTAAATTCTGCCACCATGAAATCATATACAGCTGCTGGCATAGAGTATAATGTTCACAAGAAACTGTTACTATATCTTTTTATAGTAGAGGGTTTTACGGCGTTCGCAACTGCATAAGGTCATATGAGAGCCAAGGGGTGGGTGTCAACAGAGAAGTCTTTACAGGGAATCAGACTTAGACTGCTCACCTCTCTAGCTTCAACAGCACAAGGTCGGCTTCAACTATCAAGGCACCCCAAAATAGCAGGTCACAAGAGAGTGACATACAAAAGAAGTAGAGGATATAACAATAGTAAGGATCAGGAAAGAAAAAGCAGTAGTTCCATGTTGTAGATCAGGCACAGTTATGAGCGTGACATGAGTCAGCCCATTTACAATTCTACTATGCTTGAACGAGAAATGTCCCCCCCTTTGGGAATGGCCTAAAGACACTTCAGTCAGTGCTGTTACTGCACATGACATAACCTCCTACCTGTGACCACAGCTTCACCCGGTCCACAGGTTCTAAATTCACCCTACCTTACTAACACATTTGCTAAGCATACTGTCAAACTGCTAAACTTACTAAGCAGTTTGTTGAAATTACATTTGATTTTTTTTTCCTGACGCGAAGAGAAAGAGTACAAAACGGAATACATTTTGTATGACTAATTAGAGATGTGAACTTCAAAAAAAATTAAAAGTGTGTTTCAATAATGTTTTAAGCCAATAAATGACTAGTGACTTTCCCGATAGCCACTGTCATCATTAGCAACATAAAGTAAAGGGGTAGTGGGGGGGTGTCACCTTTTGTGCAGACACACAGATCTGTATTGAAACAACGTACGCTTTAGTCTTGTTTGGTAACTCCTAAATACATCAAAAAACGCACACTGGCACGCTCTCGGACGCTTTGTGGCTGGGAAAAAGTGACAGGCAGAAACAACACAGGGAAAGCAAAGAACTAGGACATACCAGTGGCATCCTCCAACCACTGGCACATTAAGAAAAAGCAACTTCAGTCGAAAAGATTACAAAACATTTCTTCTACCACCCAGCTCAACACAAAGCTAAGTTCTTGCAATGCCCAAGTAAAATTAACACCAATATTGAGTCATAAACCGCAGAGATGCATAAGGACAAAAAATACTGGTACACTAAATCTACTTGCTGACTTTCTGACAATATTTCGAGAAGTAATGATTCCTAATGTTGTAGCACCACAACAACAATAATAATCAAATACCCCAAAAAAGAGAAGAAGGAACAGACACAAAATGATAATGAGAAAGAGGAAAGAAAGATAAAAAGAAGCGCAATCACTAAATGCTGCTTATGTTTTTCATTCCCAATTACTATTTCCCTTACATATAAAAGCTGCTAGTCAACATACTGTAACTTCTGTTCTGTTGAGAAAAAAAATAAGAAAAAAAAATACAAAAGTAATGGCTCAGCATCAACTAAAAATAAAAGAAAAATTCAGAACTCGATAACATAATATACAAATCTTCTAAAACAAATCCATTTTAGGGTTGTAAGTTGCATATCAAAAGGAATAGCACCGAAACAGAAAATACTCTTCACTCATTGTTTTAAAAAAATTACTTTTTCTCAATATTTGAAAGCAAATTCATACTGAGTGGCCCTCATGACTCACAGGCAAAACTCAACACTCAAGACTCATCATCCAGAAAAAGAACTCTTCGTTTCGGCTCTTGCCAGGAGCTACAACAATCTAAATGATGTAAACAGACCCAAGAAAAGAATTCTTACTCCAGTTTTAGCTTAACTAGGAATTTTCCCCTGCCCCTGTAACACAAATACCTCATATTAGTGCTCAAGATTACAGGTCCTACTAGAGAGTAATATACAGAACAGAGAAAAGTAGAAGGAGAGATAAGGAAGACAGATGTCTGATGGTAAAGCTGGAGAAAACAACACCAGAGCATCCACTGACCATTAACCTTTAGAGTAGAGCACCAGCAATTCAGTCTCTAAAAATGAAATCCACCGACAAACTTATTGAAAAATTCCACACAACATTAACTCACCCAGCCCTAACGCCAATAAAATCAGTATGCGCACACAACCCTCTAACCCTTACACCGACTGTATCGGTATGGAAAATTTCACTCTCGGGACCGAAAACACTACTTTTGTGTGAAGCAGACTATAGCCTTTTGGAAGAGTAACCATTTTTCGTTAGAAACAGACTATGACCAGAAGTGCAAGCCCAAATTTAGAACATAGAAAGCTATATATTCGTTAACCATGTGAGAGGGTTCGAAATTTGAACACACTTCCTTTCTTCCCTTTTTGTTTACTCTTTGACTGTGTATGTAGACCTTTTTCCATGGAGTATTGCATAAAAAAAGGGCATATTTTGCCTTCAAATTTTCAATACACACAAAAAAAGGGTTGGATCAAATGTGTACCAAATTTGGGTAAGATATGTTAAAATTTAGTTAGTTGGGGTTTTTTTTTCCATTTTTCAAAAAGTGGTAAAAATCTCAAGGGAGAGCTGACAACCCGAAAATGTAGGCCTAGGGTTGAGTGAGGTAACTCTCCATACAGCACCCCACACACCAAGCTACACATCTACGTGTTACGTACAAGTGGAAAAATATAATTGTGCATGGAAAGAGTTAAGTCTTCCCAGTGCACAGCCACGGTTCTGGCATCTATTTTGCCTTGTGTCATTTTTTCAGAGTGAGCGAATTTTACTTCTTCTCTCCATCCAATCACGGCACACACTCCACACAACATCACAGCCACCCTTCTCAGGCCACACATAAATGTAGCCAGTGACAAGACCGCTTCTGCAGCACATGTTAATATTTTGAGCATGCGTAAGGGGGGTGGGGGGGCGGAGGGATGGGTAGATGGAGGGGATGGTGTGGGCACGACCTAGTTGTAGAAAGACCTCGAGCCCTCACAGGATCGCAGCGAACAGGACCAAGTCAAAATCCAGTCAGGAACTCAGGGCACTCATTGTCACACCATAGTGCAGGGGACAAGATCAGAGATGTACAGAACTCCAGAAACATGAGGGAAAAGTGTTGTCCCAAAAGTGTGTTGCACTCCTGTGTACAACGCGCGTAGGTTGTAGAACGCACAATAGTAGCCGACATTATACCACTCCTCCCAGCACAGGAGTTTGAAAATGCTTTAAATGTATTCGTTTCAACTCCCCAGTCGAAACAATTTAGATCATTAAGGAGGCGGGCTTTCAACCCTGCCTATCAGTCAAGGTCAACTCGGGCTGAGAGGTAAACAACATTCCAGCAGAAAGACTGAGTTACTCTATAAAAATTCTCCCACTTAGGAACCGAACTCGGGGTCTTCACAGCACAGGAGGACGACGTGTTTAGTCCACGATGTTGAACACCAGCTCCATGACGATGCCCTCTTCCGAGGCCTGGTGAATGATGGGTATGAGGAAGGTGTCCAGGTTGTTCATCATCGACGCCGGCAGGGTGCGTCCCCGCGACCCAACCTCGTAGCCCACCTGGAGAAAGAAAGGAAGAAAGGAAGCATGTGATTAAAGGATTCATCATCATCATCACCATCACTGTATACAGCAGATAGTAAAATGGTTAATACCTGGTATTATTTCCAAAATATTTAAGGACAAGTTCAACGTTTCGTCCTCAACAGGCTTCATCAGGAACATTCAGAATATAAATGACTTCACTTGCTGTAGAAACCAAAGTGCGTACATTCATCATCACCATCATCATTATTATTATCTGCCTCTTTCACCCTGGGTACTGGGAATGGCGGCCAAAATGAGCTCATCACCTGTCTCTCATCTGAGCAATCTTCACCTCCAGCTAGCTGTGCCATATAAACCTCAGATCTGCCTCTAGATCTCAATCCCAGGTGAGATTTAAAAACTGGAAATGTTTTAAGCCCCAATTGATACAATTTAGACTATTTAGGAGATTGCCTGCCGTGACCCAATCTGCCAGGGCCAAGTCAAGCAGGGAAGAATATGGCATCCCAGCAGAGAGACAAACAAAACTTGATAAAATAACTTTAGGAGGTCATCAAACACATTTGGGAGAACAGATGTCTTCACCGAAGTCTAAAAAGTGTGTCTTTGTCATATCTTGTTTCCACCAAAACCACAGATATACCAAAATTAAAAGTCAGATCCAAAAAATGTATAGGGTATCAGCTTAAGTGTGCAATCATTCAGATTTTCATCAGGACAATTATTATGAGGGCTCCTTTCTATATCCTCATCTTCCACCAAGTGTTAGTTTGATCCCAGCTATTTTTTCATCCAGACAATCCTTTATTCATCAATGGAATCATTCTTTCATCTACACAATCATTTATTCATCAACAGAACCATTCTTCTGTAAAGATAATCAGTCCTTCATCCAAACAATCCTTCATCCTTCTACACAATCAATCTTTCATCTACACAATCAATCACTTATCTATGCAATCAATCATCCATCGATACAACAACCACAATCCATTCCTTCATCTGCACAATAACTCATATACTCCATCAACCACCCATCCACACAACCCTTCTACAGTTGCGAGCGCTGTAAAACCTCTACTAAAACTAAAACAACCCTTCAATCCCCAGACAGCCCAGTAATCCAGCCCGTGTACTGACCGCCTCCCGCGTGAGCTTGACCCTCAGACCCAGCTTGACCAGCCCGTCCTTGCGCAGCTCCTCCAGGTGAGCCACCAGCGCGCTGCAGCAGCCCTGAGCGATGTCCTCCGTCAGCCGGGACAGGTCCTGGGGGTCCACGTGGCTGGGGTTCGAGTCCTCCTGCCGCAGGAAGTAGACACGGGTCCAGCGTATGGCCAGAGAGTCGCCTAGCACGTCTGGCGGAGACTTGACGCTGATGCTCTCCACGCCCTCCAGGGAGGAGTCATCGATGAAGCTCTTCACGCTGAGGATTCAGCATTTTCGTTGCAATATATTGAAGTGAAACAGCATATTAAAGTTAAACAGCATTTTGTTAACGTACATTGAAATGAATCAACGTCTAAATCATTGTTTCCCATACTTTATCCCTGAGAAACCCTCAGTGGATGTCAAAAGTTTTAAGGTACCAACAAAGGTTTCCATGCTTGTGCAAGACCAGTGTATTGTAGATTTAACAGGTTGTACATGACATTGGGAGAGGCCAGTAACCAGACTTACTTTACTCAAAAACAAGTCAACATTTCACATACAAAAAATTAAAAACAAAAAAATAAAGCACAAGATGATGGTGTCAAGAAAAAAAAAAAAGAAATTGTTAAGCGAAATAGTTCTGTGCAGGCAAACCATTTACGAACACTTACCAAAAACCTACAAAGTAAAAAAAAAGTTTAAAATCGTAATTAAGTTAATCTTTAAAAATGGTCACTTTTAAGCACAAGGGGGCTATCCCGAAAAATGCTGTTTTGAGAAAATTGAAGACAAAGTTTTTGCCCCTTGTTCAGTTTCTTTAAAAGGCAAGGAGAGTTTTCCCTGTTATAACCAAACAAATATACACAACAATGAAACCAAACTTCTCCTATAGGTAGTGCAACGCCAACTTTTGGTGTATGTCAAGATTTCTGGAAACCCCCGAAATCTGGGTTAGCCCGCTTGTCTTAAAAAGCGACCAAACAAAAAAATTTTTTTAATAAATAAAAAAGAATATAGGTAGGGCAATGCCCACTTTTGGTGTATGTCAAGATTTCTGGAAACCCTTGAAATCTGGGTTAGCCCGCTTGTCCTTAAAAGCGACCAAATAAAATTTTTTAAAAAATAAATAAAAAAGAATTCATGGGAAAAAAGTGCTCACCCGTTGCTAAAGTTCTTGTCGTTGTCCACCCATCTGAGCTCCACGACCTCGTCGGGCTCGGCCGCCTCCAGGGGTCCGCACAGAATAACGTGGTTCGTCATGTCCTTCAGCGCCTCCTTCACGCCGGACAACGCCTCGGGCAGGACCTGGCACACACACACAATCAGAATATAGACAATAAGGACACACAGAATCAGAAAACACACACACACAATCAGAACACACAGACACACACAATCAGAACACACAGACACACACAATCGGAACACACAGACACACACAATCAGAACACACACATACACACATTGAGAACACACACACGCAAACACAATCAGAACACACACAATCAGAACAGAACACACACAATCAGAACACACACACAATCAGAACACACACAATCAGAACACACACACAATCAGAACACACACAATCAGAATACACAAAATCAGAACACACACAATCAGAACACATGTAATGAGAACACACACAATCACAACACACACACAATCAGATCCTCAACTAAATAGAGTTTTCATCATCTGCCTCTCTCACCCTGGTATTGGGTACATCAACAAGTTAACCATTATTTTATTAATATTTTGGGGGGTTTTAGTAAGAGTTTTACGGCACTTGCAACACAATAGGGTCATATAAGAGCCGAAGATTAGAGATTTTACAAGAGAGTAACAGACACAGAAAAGAAGGCGGAGAGATAAGTACGATAGATGTTTGACAGGAAAGAAGAAGCAAACCACACCAGAGCACCTGCTAACTATCCAAAACCACTATTCAGTGCCATGAGAAGGCAAGATAAACAGATAGAATTCACTTCATTTTCTTTTACGAGCTGACAATATAAAAAGACAACATTATGAGAATCAACTTAATCTTAGAGTCAACCAGTGGTGATAACAGCAAAGAATGGAAATTTCTCATGACTATACGGTGTAAGTAGATGATATAGGAAGGAGGAGAGTGAGTGAAAAGATGAAAAACCGGAAAACTTTCAGCTGCCATCGACACTAGAAGATTATCCCTGAGGTGTCAACTGGCTCCGAAATAAATCTTCATTTTTGTGAACTCTGCGGAAACATGCACGAGTAGACTCAAAATTTACAGATCATTTTATCTAATACATTTCGTATCGAGACTGATTTTGTGAAAAAAAAGTAAAAACTTCTCAACAGAACAGAATAAAGTCAGGGAAAATCCGGACAATTTTCAGGAAATACCTGGATCATGAGTCCGTCCTCCACAATGCTGGATTTGGCACGCAGTCCTGACGTCGTCTTGAGAGCGCCGTTGAACACGACAAAGCTGGCACCGGTCACTGAGAGGAGAGAGTTCAAATCTTGAAGGAAATAAAAACAACATACTAACAAAAAAACTTTTTTTAAAAAAAAGTAAGTGTTTTACGGCACTTGCAACACAATAAGGTCATATAAGTGCCGAAGGTTAGAGGTGTTACAAGAGAGTAACGAACACAAAAAAGAAGGAGGGGATATACAGACAATACATGTTTGATAGGAAAGAAAAAGCAAACCACACCAGAGCACCCGCCAACCACCCACAAAGAACTTTCCCATCAAAATGACTGTTGGCTTTGGTCCTCAGTAAAAGAAAATGATCCCGAACCAGATACAACGTCCCAGCAGAAAGACAGAGGCACTCGATAAAAATTCTTCCAATACGTTTATTGAACTCAAGTCTTCTGCACTCTACACCGAACACCTAACTGCTGCACAAAAAACGCCAAAGAGTTTAGCATCCCAGGAATGGAAACAAAATTATCCTTGAAAATGAATGTAATGATATAATGTGACAAACTTATATCTACGGGTATTTCAGCCAGTTCAGGCTAATTGAAAATTTTTTAAAGCTTGAAAATAGGAAACAAAATCTTAATTTGGAGCACTACAGAAGCACTGACCACAAATATGTCCATTTTCTGTGACGTAAAAGACAACACAACAGATGAAATTTTGAGTTGCTAGGCAAACAACAACAACAACAACAAATCCCAGGAAACTATCACAAACTTCGACGTGTGAGTCTTAATTTTAGTAAGTATTTTACGGCACTTGCAACACAATAAGGTCATATAAGTGCAGAAAATTAGATGTTAGACGAGAGAAACAAACACAAAAAAAGAAGGAGGGGAGATAAGGACAACAGATGTTTGATAAGAAAGAAGGAGCAAACCACACCAGAGCACCCGCCAACCACCCACAGATGAAATTTTGAGTTGCTGAACAAACAACAACAACAACAACAAATCCCAGGAAACTGTCACAAACGTCGACGTGTGAGTTTGAGGAGAAGTGTACCGACCTAGCCGGGGCTTGTTCTGTATGTTGATGGCCTGCGTCTGGTAGTTGCCCTCCTCGTTCTGGATACACACCAGGTGGGAGTCGGCCTCCGAGCTGAACGACGAGCCCAAGGCCATCACGTGCTCGTTGCTGTTGCGCACCACCTTCATCACCTGCCGAGTCATTGTAAGTTTAGTTTTAGTTAAGTGTTTTACGGCACCTGCAACACAATAAGGTCAAATGAGCGCCAGAAGATTAGAGGGGTTACAAGAGAGTAACAAATATAAAAAAGAAGAAGGGGAGATAAGGACGACAGATGTTTCATAGGAAAGAAGAAGCAAACCACACCAGAGCATCCGCCAACCACCCACGAAGAATGAAAAATACACAGAAACAACAGAGGGAAACAAAAAGATGTAGGAACAACCAATGGTGCACACCATCGACCCGCTTTCAAAGAAGCAAATTAGGACGAGAGCAAGGAATGAATTAAAAGCAAAGTGAAGCTAATTCAAACAATTTCAACACTATAAATCTATCAAAGACGCGGGACCTCCAACTTCAACATCCCATCTCGGACAGGACAGAACCTGGTAGGTGAACAGCCTTCAGGAGTTGTTGAGGAAAAAAAAATCAGTTTTCAGAACATCATTTGATGTTAGTTTAGTTTTAGTAGAGTTTTTACGGCGCTCGCAGCTGCATAAGGTCATATGAGCGACATCCCCAGTTGATAAATATTATGTTACAAACTGACCTGCAGGCTCATATGACCTTATGCAGTTGTGAGCGCTGTGAAACTTTTACCAAACAGTCTGACCGTACCAAACATTATACATAAATAGAATTAAAAATTTGTTAAAAAGAATTCTTCGACTCACGTCGTCGTATCGATTGCGGGGGAAGCTGATCACCGTCTTCTTGTTCTCCATGTGGATGGTCACGCCGCGTATCTGGGTCAGCATGTACTGGTAGTTGCGGAAGTCGGCCAGGAGGTTGATGATGGTGTGGCCAATCTCGTAGAAGACGGGCTTCCTGTAGCGCACGCTCACCAGCGGGCACGGGTAATCTGGGGAGGAATGCATTATGTGGTTACACAACGGGTTCATGATGGATTTGATCTAGACAAATGTGAGGCAGCGTGGTAATATCAGGCACTCGTCAAAATAACGAAATCGAAGAAACAGGCATTTTCCCGCCAGTTTGGAAATTTTTATCGAATTTTTATTTTTTGGCTCAACCTCTTTTAGGGCTTGATTAAAGGCACAAAGCATGTCCTTTTTCAGTCTTCAAAGACTCTTAAGCTATTGGAGTTATCAATCTTTGGCGGCCATTTTCTCCCTAATTTCACCACTGAAACAAGGCGACCTCAATTCCTTCAATCGCAAATATTGTGAATTCTATTCAAGATAAATGGATATTTCACTGGAAGCTAGGCAAATAAATCAGCTTTCGGATGTTACCAATAACTTCACAAGCCCAAAATTTGACGAGCGCCTGATACCACCGCGTCGGGACACAAATGGTCATATGACTTTTCTCTGCATCCCTGTACAACATGAAGTGGGGGGGGGGGGGGGGGGAGGCCTCTACAAAATATCTAGTGAGTTCAAACTCACGAGTAATGTCCAGCTTGTGTCTGTGACGCGGGCATTAGATGGGTGGTCACTGGGGTGTGTCCTTGAGAAAGACACGATAACCCTAGCTAATAAAAACAGGGCGCTGCACAGTTGCAACCAGTAATGGCATATTTGCAAAATTGTATCTATCTGTATAACATTGTGTTCTCTAAAGGCATATTTGTGTATTAAGATATGTATTGATCAATGTACGTTTGTTGTTGTAATCCAAATTTCCCCCAAGGAGACCAATAAAGTATGATTTATCCATTTATCTTATTTATTATCATTTATTTAGTAACACTTCTAATCTCTGGCACTTACATGACTTATTTGTGTTGCAAACGCTGTAAAACTCTTACTTCAACTCAACTCACATCTTAGTTTAGTTTTACTAAGAGTTTAACAGCATTTGCAACACGATAAAGTTATACAAGTGCCTAAGATTAGATGTGTTACAAGAGAGTAATAAACACCAAGGAGCAAACCACACCAAAACCACCCACCAAGCACCCACTAACTCACATCTATACTCGGCTCCGAGCCGAAGCAGCAGACGTATGGGGAACACTTTGGCCCAGGGCACCTCCCACTTCTGCAGCAGTAGGGCGAACAGGTACGGGGGCTCCGGCAGGCTCAGCTTGTTCAAGCACTGGAATGTGGGCTGCAGGAACAGGAAGCCGCCGTACTCGCGGCTGCCCAGGAACTCTTGCTGCACCAGGGTCAGGCCCATGTTCTGGATGAAGTTGCCTGAAACGCAAAAACAAGTTTGTTTTTGTTTTAGTAGAGGTTTTTACGGCACTCGCAACTGCATAAGGTCATAGGAGCGCCAAGGGGTGGATGTCAACAGAGAAGTCCTTACAGGGAATCAGACTTACTCTGCTCTCCTCTCTAACTTAAACAGCACAAAGTCTGCTTCGATTATCAAGGCACCCCGGAAATAGCGGGTCACAAGAGTGTGACAAACATACAAAAGAAGTAGAGGAAAATGACGATAGTAAGGATTAGAAAAGAAAAGGCAGCAGTTCCCTGTTGTAGTTAATGCACAGTTATGAGCATGATATTGTTGGATCAGCCCATTTACAATTCTACTGTGCATTAAAACGAGAAATTTCCCCCCTATGGGAAAGGCCTACAGACACCCCAGTCAGTGGCAGCGCCCTGGGACGCAAAACAAGAAAACAATTCTTCAGCATCCTTTCGCAAGTGCATAAGTCCATTTTTTTAAAGTGTTGAGAAATAATTTAAAGAAAAAGAGAGCTCCGCACTCAGAATCATCACTTGGGCACGAGTTATTTTTCAATTAAAACAAGGAAAAAAATTAATAACAAAACAGAATGAAATTATACTGTAAAGTGTCTATATTACAATAACAGCTTACCTGGAAACCCCCAGAAATTGACTTTGGGCGATTGTGGAATGACGGACACAAACTGATATTTGGGACTAGCCATCAAACATTCCGAGTTCAAGAGTTGAAAGTAACAGTTGACTGTAAAATTTAAACACCCACATCGACACAACTTAGTTCATTTAATAAGCTTTCTACTTGAACCCCATCAGACGCTGGGAGCATCCACTAGTAGTGACAACTGTTTCGTTTTATTTAGTGCTAGTTTTTGCTTGTTTTTCAGAACTATTCCCGAACCAAGTTTTTTAGAAATGACTAAGCCTTTGCTTCCGCTATTTAGAAATTGGAGGCAAGCTTTTGGGGTTATAATGAGACATAGTGCACCAGGTTTAGGTGACTGTAGGAAAAAACTCCTGGAAACGGTGGAAAAAACTCAGGGCGTAAAGAGTTAATAAGCTTTCTGCTTGGACCCATAACAATGGCTACTTGGCTACTTCACATTCCGAAAAGTAGGACAACAGACAGAAAAAAACAGATGGATAAACAATAAATGGAACCACCCTATGAAACCTTTTGACCACCCATTGCCCAAACCAACATGTTGAAAGAAAGATGTAAGAAATGGGGATAGAGAGTGGAGAAGGAAGAAAGGAATGATTATTTGGAAAGAAAAGATGTCGCCACTGGAACAATTAGTTTGGATACCTTGCGGGCTTTGGTGCTGAGAGGAACTGAGCACTTATGGACCTGTCTAGTGTGCAATGATGTTGTAGCCCAGGACAGGTAAAACATGTAAGTGCTCAGGTGTGGAGTCAAGGTAAGGTCAGGCGTTCAGAGTTCGAAGGGTAAATCAAAAAGAAGTAAGACAAGAACACTGCATGAACACTGCACCTTTCAAGGCCTCCTCGTAGATGTACTGGAGATGTAAGAAAATATCTCGTGGTGGCGTGACGCTCTCACTGACCGCCTCCTCTTCTGTCAGCTCCAGCAAGATGGCCACCTCGCTTTGCCCCGCCGTGCACATCCCGCGACTCACAAAACTCCAGCAGATCCGGCTCACACAGCAGTCCACTGGGAGGGAGGGAAGGAGGGAGGGGTGGAGGGTGGGGGGAGAGAGACAGACATCCAGGTTGTTGTTGTTGTTGTTGTTTTCAAATTCCTTTAGCTGCGGGCATTTCGCTCTAAAGACATCCAGGTAACCTAACATATGTGTGTATGTATATGTCTAAATAATATACATACATGCATATTAATATAGTACAAAGTATTTAGGTAAACTCTCACAAACACACACATATTCCATGTATGTGTTTTTGTTTGTTTTAGTAAGTGTTTTACAGCACTTGCAACACAATAAGGTCATATAATAAGTGTCAAAGATTAGAGGTGTTACAAGAGAGTAACAAACACAAAAAAGAAGGAGGAGAGATAAAGACGATAGATGTTTGATAGGAAAGAAGAAGCAAACCATACCAGAGCACACGCCAACCACCCACAGTGAGGGAGGGGTGGAGGGGAGAGAGAGACAGACATCCAGGTAACTTCACATATATGTGTGTGTGTGTATTTGTCCAAATAATATACACACATGCATATTAAGATATTACAAAGTATTCAGGTAAACTCTCACACACATACACACACACACACACACACACACACACACACACACACACACACACACATATTCCATATATGTGTGATTTGGACAATCTATCATATCTATATAATCTATACCCACCTACATATGTATCTATTTTTTCACATAAGACAATGACTTACTTTCAATGACAACTGAAGGCAAATTTTAAACAAATTTCAGCATTCATTCTTCTGCGGCTGACCCATTGGTATCAAGAACATTTAAAGCCAAAAGGCATGCTTTGGATCAACAACATCTTCCACATTTTACACATTGGAAGTTTGATTGTGACAGTCTGCAATGTCTGGTGATGCGAGAGTTTAGCTGCGGATCTTGTCTTCCCCAATCCTCTGCAGACCTGGACCATCATACCCTGTCACTACACATAGTTTTAGAACAAACAAGTTGACATTTATTTTTCCCTCCCAACTTTAACAATACAACCCCTCCCTCCCCCCCCCCCCCAAAAAAAAAATTTAAAAAACAATTTTTAAAAAAACAACCAAAACAAGCACAAAATCCTTCATACCACTTTCTACAACTTACAGTTAATTATCTTGACAGCAACAGAGAGATTTTTGTTCACAGCGTAGGATATTGCAGGTCCCGTCTCCGCTGAAAGTAAACAAGGAAAAGTGAAAATGAGATCAACAGGCAAAAGGGATTTAATAATTTTTGGAAAACCAACAAAACAGAACGAGTACTGAGAACTGACACAGTAAAATCATCTGTGTCAATCTACAAGCATCATAAGCTATTTGCTTAAAGTTCTGAGAAAATCGAAAAAAAGAGTACCTAAATCTGAACTAAAACTAAGACACTCATTATTTTTCAATTTAAAGAAGTGGGAAGGAAACGAAACAGAAAGAAACCAAATTGCAAGGTCATTTAGCGTCAGAAAAAGGCAGGAAAAACTGGCGGAAGAACATAGGAATAGAAAGAAGTAGGATGTACCAGCAGTGGGCTCCTTACACTTGTTAATTGGAATGGGAAGACAGGAAAATGACACAATACCCATTGACAAACAGATTACATCTTACATACATTCTAGAATTGTTTTTTGTAAGAGTAAAGAGATGCACATCGACACGATGATGGTAACTCAGTGAAAAAAAAGAAACCACTTCAGACATACAGCAATAAGAGAAAGAAATAAAAAGTAGGACCTACTAGCCGTGCCCTCCAACCAGCTACACACGTTTAACGAAACTAAGATTAGTCTTAGTTTTAGTAAGAGTTTTACTGCACTTGCAATACAATAAGGTCAAAAAAGGGCCGAAGAATAGAGGTGTTACAAGAGAGTAACATACACAAAATAGAAGGAGGGGAGATCAGAACGATAGATATTTGATAGGAAAGAAGGAGCAAACCACACCAGAGCACGCGCCAAACACCCACAAACTAAGATTGTAACATGGACACATGAGCAGTGGCCATTTATCACAAAATCATTCTGAAAAGGTCAAAAAGAACAAAGAATAAAGAAACAAGAAACAGACAAACAAACAACAAACAAAAACCAAGCAACCCCAGCAATGAGACAAACCTTTGTAGTCCGCCGTGTAGTCCAGCTGGTTCAGCATCTCGTCAGTCTCCACAAACCCTGAGAGACGAAGACACAGAAAATGATATACATCTTCTTTGTTTTAGTTTTGGTATAAGTTTTACTACACTTGCAAGCAACACAAATAGGGTCACATAAAAGGTCTTACTAGAGGTATTGTAAAAAGAAGAGAAGGACGAGAGATGTTCAATTTTGTAATAATCCTAATGAAACTGTCCAAGATATCTACCTCATTAAGTTTTACGGCACTTGCAACACAATAAGGTCAAATAAGTGCCGAAGATTAGAGGTGTTACAAGAGAGAAACAAACTATAAAAATAGAAAGAAAAGAGAGATAAGGATGACAGATGTTTGATAGGAAAGGAGGAGCAAACCATACCAGAGAACCCGCCAACCACCCACAAAAATAATACATCTTCTTTGTTTTAGTTTGGGAAAAAGTTTTACTACACTTGCAACACAAGTACATCACATAGGAGCCCAAGATCAGATGTCTTACTAGAGATAATGTAAAAAAGAAGAGAAGGACGAGAGATGTTCAAATTTTAAAATATCATAATGACACTGTCCAAGACATCTACCTCATTAACCCTATCCCTACGTCGTGTTTTACTATTGTATCCATACGACGTGGGGAACTCTGTGCCACCCCTTTCCACAGAGGAAATTTACTCGTTAATCCGATCCGTACGCTTTGCATAGCAGTCTGTCAAAATTATTTTTTGAGAAATACTGAAAGTATCAAAGAGATCTTCGTACTGGACGCATTCTAAAATGTGAAGAAAACAACCCCAGGGGTACAAAATGACCCTAGTGCGTACGGATAGGGTTAAAAACAACCATTTTTCCTCAACAATTTTTAAAAAAATTTTATATTGTGTTTTGACGGGGACATAAAACACGTGCAATTGCTTAGAGCACATCTGTGACATGTTCCCCAACCACCCACGCATGTCCCCCCCCCCCCTTTCCACTGACCTGTTTCATCCTGTGTGATGTACAGCGGAGGCAGACCCACCTCCGGGACTAGACAAGGACTTCTTAACAAACTTTCCTCTCGCGTCTTTTTGACGGGATTTGCATCTGAAAATATAACGGCAAGAAATGCATAAATAAATGTCCAAACAAGAAATAATAAGCAAGGTTGCAGCTGGGTTGCGAAAACGATTAACAAAAAGCCAGATAAACACACAACTAAGAAGGAGTTAAACAAAAAACAAACGGCAGCATAATAACAGTTCTTATCATGAAAATAAGCGGGGAAACCCCCCCCCCCCCCCCCCCCAGAAAAACAGCATCTCAGACGACAAACCAAAACATATGCTGAGAAACACCAAAAAAAATTTACTTTTATTTGCTCTAAACCTTGGCTATGAATTCTTTGGTCGTCACATAAGAAAAGAACACATAGATGTGAACAATTTCAACCACCTAATGCTATAACTTGAAAGGCACAATCAACGAGACTATGTTACAGCATGCACTTGTGGCATCGGTGGTCATGTGGTAAGGTTCTCGGACTCTCAACTGTAAGGGCATGGGTTCGAATCCCATCAGGGGGCCATACCTTGGGTCCTTCGAAAAAGCTTTTTATATGTTCCTCTTTTCATGCTTGTGGGAATAGGTAACCCGCGATAGACAAAGAAAAATCATGGCAGTATGCAAGTGTTTTAGCTTGAGTAATCCGCAGCTTGCACTGTATGCTTCCCAGAAAGCCAAGAACGTTTCCTCATGTTCTAGCATCTGCTGGGGGTAATAATAGTTGTAAAACGCTTAAGGTATGTGGCAGAACTAAATACAAGCAATTATCATTATCATTATTTCATTACTTACTAGGAGGGGTAACAGCCTTTTTGGCAGCTTTTCTTCGGCGTGACCTTGACTGGTCCGGCCCGTCCAGCTCGGTGAGGTCACCTCCAGGTCGAATGCCGTCAGAAAACATGACCTGCTTGGGCTCCCCAGACCGACGCTGACTTCCTAATATTCATAATAATAGTAATACAATATAATAATAACATAATAAGAATTCTTATAATAATAATTCTAATTCTTATTATAATAATAATAATCACAATAATAACAATAATAATGTGAATTTACATAGCCCCTAATCCCTAAAAGCCTCTTATCGCTGTGCAATGAAGAATTATCACTCAACTGACAAAGCAAAAGAGAGAAAAGGGCACATTATAATCAAGGCAGAGATTGAGAGGCTTGGCGACACAAAGAATAGAGGTCACACAAGTGACGAAGATTAGAGGTGTTGCTATACTAGAGGGTAACAGACAAAGAATAGAAAGAGGAGAGATAAGGACGATACATGTTTTTGACAAGAAAGAAAGAAAGAGCACCTACCAACCACCCATCCATCCACCCACACACTCATCCACATCCACACACACACAACACACACAAAAACTCAAACACACACTCACAAACACACACACACACACACACACATTCACACACACATACACACAGAGACTGACAGATGTCCACAATGAGTATCATACATGGTCACACATAATCAATGCACATGCTCATGAGACCAGGGATGATGCAGCGTTAAAAAGTTTAAAAAAGTAAGCACATCATGTGCGTCTACAAGTGTCTAACTCATTTTTTGAAGTTTATAGAAATTTTTGTTTGTTTGTTTTAGTAGAGGTTTTACAGCGCTCGCAACTGCCCAAGGTCATATGAGCGCCAGAAGATTAGAGGTGTTACAAGAGAGTAACCAACATAAAAAAGGAGAAGGGGAGATAAGGACGATAAATGTTTGATAGGAAAGAAGAAACAAACCACACCAGAGCACCCGCCAACCACCCACAATTAATTCTTTAGTAGAGTGCAGGGAATTCTGAAAAATTCTATTGTTCATTGGAAAATGAAAATAAGGAAACAGTACAAAACTATATCATAGGATGCACCTTAATGTCTTTATTAGTAAAACAGACTGTTGTATTCGGTTTTATCTGGACACTCCTTGAAATTGATTTGGGCAATGGTGGAACAGAGCTGACAACATAAAGACGTAAGTTATACCAAAAAAAAAACTTTTAAAAAACTCAGTACAACAAGGGCTCCACAAACCTGAACAGACAGACAGAGCCACAAACAGACAGCTCTGTAACTGAACTGGCCCAACCCCACCAAAAAACCCCCCCCAAAAAACCCAGCGGGAAGAGTTATTTCTTTGTCAGGCTGGAGCATGCATGCATGCGCATAATGCAATCTGCAGCACTGGCATGGGGACCTATCAGGTACAGTTCATTTGAATAAAGAGAGAAGCACATCAACAGAATAAACGTCATTTGGTGTTGAGGAAAAGCGAGACAACACACAAACAAGACAGAAACAACGTAAGGAGAGAGAAAAGAAGTAAGACCTACACCAGTATCACCCTTCAACCACCCACTGGTGCTTATCACACAGGTAACATCTAAAGAATGGTTTATTTTTTTTAAAACACCAAAACAAACCAAACCCCCCTCCCCCCCTTCAAAAAAAAAGCATGGCTGTGTTCCAAACAACAAAGAGAGAACGAGCCATGAACGATCAAGCAGTCTAACTGACAGCAGATTCTGAGCATATGCACAATCATGTAGGAAATTTTTTTTTTTTAAAGGGCCCATCATAGGGTGAAAACATTCTTTAAATTTTTAACTGCAGCAAAAACCTAACACAAAGTAACAGGGGCTCTCGTGGCCTAGAGGTTAAGGTGTTGGCCTCTCATTCAAAGGTCCCGGGTTCGATTCTGAGTAGCGACCCAAAAAAATTTTCTTCTCTAAAATTGTCTCCTTTCACATCCTTTCCTGATCTCTAACAATGTTCTGTTGTCTGCTTTCATTTCCACTTTCTGCCCCCACCCCCTCACCTCCTTTGCCCCCTCCTCTGGGCTCCTGGCTCTTTCTGCAGCCTTTCTACTGCTACTCCTTGGCTCCTCCTAACTGCTGTCTTTCTGCCACACCCCAGATCTTCTGGTAGGAAAGATCTACACCTAGCCTTCTCGGACAAGGGCGAAAAATCTCGGAGGGCCCGTGTGCAAGTTGCGCACGTTAAAGATCCCTTGGTGGTCTAAAATCGATAAGAGTAGGCTTCGGCCGCCACCCGGGCAAAATTCAAAATTTCCTACCAACGAAAAAGTATTAGGTGTGTCCCGCGCGCTCATATGACCTTATGCAGTTGCGAGCGCCGTAAAACCCTATACTAAAACAAACAAACAAACAAAGTAACAGGTTGCTACATTGAGCAATTCATGTTCCATACATGATAGTTTGTTTAAGTAAGAGTTTTACGGCACCTGCAACACAAATTAGGTCATATGAGAGGCATCGTGGTGAAATCAAGAGCCCATCAAAATAATGAAATCGAAGAATCTGGCATTTTTTGTCCATTTGGCAATTTTTATCGAATTTTTGTTTTTTGACTCAACACCTTTAAGGCCCATTTAAAAACACATTTCTGTGTGGATTTTACAGAAGAGTGTTGATTTAAGGCACAAAAATGAAAATTTGCAGTTTCTAAGGATTCTCAAGCTTTGGAAGTCGCCAAACTTCGGCACCCGTTTTCTAGGTAATTTTACCTCGGAAACCAGGCGACCTCCACCTCCTTCAATCGTAAATATCTCGACTTCTATATATGATAGAAGAGTATTTTCTTCACCGAAAGCAAGACAAATGAACAAGCTTTAAAGTGATAGCAATAACTCCATATATCCAGAAATTGACGAGTGCCTGATTCCACCACATCATGATACGAAGTGCCAAAGATGGAGACGTTACTTGACAGCAACATACAAAGAAAAATAGGAGAGATAAGGAGGACAGATGTTTAATTGGAAAGAAGAAGCAAACCACAATAGAGCACCTGCCAACCACCCACTTACCATAGATGAGAACATGACATAAATAAATATGCTTTTCTTACCGAACTGAAATTTCAACTTTGTTTTTGTTTGAATAAAATGATGCAAATTGACACAATGGCCATTTAGTGCAAGAAAAAAGTAAGACAGCTATACAGAGCAGGGAAGAACCAGGACAGATAAACAAAAACAACAGTTCAGTTAAGTTTAGTTTTAGTAAGAGTTTTACGCCACTTGCAACACAATAAGGTCATAGAAGTGCTGAAGACTAGAGGTGTTACACGAGAGTAACAAACACAAAAAAGAAGGAGGATAGATCAGGACGAAAAAAACAACAGTGAGAAAGAAACAAAGGAAGGAATGAAAAGATGTAGGACCTACCAGTGACATCCTTCAAACACCCGCTAAAAGGAAGCGGAGAAATAGCGCAAAGTTCCCATCACACAATGTAAAAGTAAACAAAGTAAAAAAAAAAATGTGAAAACCCCAAAAAGAGAACAAAAGACCATCCATCAAAATGACAGCAAGGAGGAGGGAGCAGGCAAGCACAAACAATCTCTCTAAAGGAGCTGCAGGTTTTGAGCAGCAACGTGTAGGATGCAGAAGGAACGCACAACGCCAACAACACAGCGAAAATGTAAATGAGGTTTAACAATCAAACTGTCAAACAACTCGTAAAAAAGCAACAACGGGGAAGCAAGGGGGAAAAAGATCTTTCTCAGGGTCTTGAGTGAAAAAGTGTAAGAGGATGCAATAGAAACAAATTGTGCCCAACACTCAGTAAAAAGATAAATAAAGAAGAACAAAATGTTTAACATCTATTTAACAAAGAAAAAAAAAGATTAACTTTTAAACAACTATTGAACTATAAACAAACATAAATCAATTTTAAAACAACTGTTGCAAAGAGAACAAAAAAGGAAGTGAGAACAAAAGATAAAGAAAAACAAAAAACAAAAAAAACAAAAAACAACTTTTAATCAACAAATGAACAAAGAAAAACCCCACAAAAAAAAAAACTTTCGATGAACTATTGCAGAGCAACAAAAAAAAAAAAAAAAAGAAAGCCGAGTAAACGATCTCTCTAACTGACCTGAGGTTTTGAGCACGCCAGTTGGGACCATGACAGTGGGCGGGCCGCCCATGTGCTGACTAGCCTGCTGGCTGGGGGGGACTTTAGAGCAGTACTCATTGGGCTTGTTAGGGTTAGGAGAGCGGGGGGCCGCACCGCTGCTGTGGGCTGCAACAACAAGGATCGGGCACGGGCGAGGGAGAGGGGAGGGGAGGGGAGGATGGGAGGGAGGGAGTGGGGCGCGGGCGGGCGGGCGGGAGAAGCCAAAGAGAAGACGGTCAGACCAGACAAAATGAAGCATAGTTCAGCTTAAAGGCATAATGCTGCTGGCGCTAGGGAGCAAAGTGGCCAACTCCAAAGGGACAACAACAAAGATCCCAAATAATTCTATAGAAAATGGACGAAGATTTCACTTTTTTACATTAATTTGCAGAACAGAACTTTAGATCTTGGTATAATTTCACTTTTTTTTTCTCTTGGATGACTTCATATCTAATAAGACTAAGACTAAAGAATAGCTGTGAAGAACTCTTTGATCAAATCTACATAAAACTTTTGATTTTATTTCCGCACGAGGCACTGAGGTTCAGCCACTTTGCACCCATCACCGCGGATAAGTGACAAGAAAAGCTTTGGTAAGTTTGCACAGAGCCAGTCGTCATTCATCCCTTCTCGGGCTGTCAAGCAGAGCCTTCCAGATGGACACTTGTCAGTCACAAATGTTATACAAGCTGCAACTCACAGTTAATCAAAGGTCGAAAAAAAATTCTAAAAATACAAAGAGACACCTTATAGCAGGCATGGGCAAACTACGGCCCACAGGCCAGGCCCGGCCCGCAAGAAGTATCAGTGTGGCCCGTGAGTCATTCAATAATTATTATGGTAATTAATAAAAACTAAACAGTTCATCTTGAGAACTAAAATAAACCATTTCCAGCCCAGCTGAAAGCAATATATCAAAGATTTTTATCTCATGAAATGCCCTGGAGTGACTGACAAGAGTTTTAGAGTCACTTTTCAGAGCGTGGGTATTTTAACCGATTTCACCCAATTTTCTCCTTCTTTCGACTGCCAGATATTGAGAATCACTTAATCTGGCCCATGTCTAGGATACGCTTGCTCATGCCTGCCTTATAGTTTTCTATATCCCCTTCAGTGAATGGTTCATTGGTGTCTCAAGAAATTTCTTAACCACTCAATACATTAAATTAAGTCCTTCCCAATTCATTACTTTTTACAAGGAAACAAATGGTGGGAAAGAAATCCAGATCCTTGTTATTATAAACTGTGTCAACCTGTACATACTTAAGACTACAAAACCACCTTCTGACAAACAATAAAGAAATCTTCAAATGGGAGTCCATGATTCAGTTAAAAATTGTAGAAATCAGCAAACTGAGACTCAAGCTTAAGACTAAGTTTGTATATTGTTTTCAGAGCAGTAGTTGTTAAAAACAAAAGTTAATAATGCTTATCTGAAATAATAATGAATCACTCTGTTCAAGCTGTCATACAATCCGACTCGCTACAAAAAGTCAATTCATTCTCATTTATTTGCTTCTCTTCTGCCATGAAAAAACACTCCCAGTGTAAACTATTTCACAAAGGAAGCACCAGATTACTGCCTAATTACATCAAACTTTTTTGTGAATTCTTAAAAATGACCACACTGAGCTGGTTACCTGTATCTAAAAAAAATCTTATGAAACAAGAATCAGAGCAGGTTGCTAAAAAAAAAAAAGGGGGGGCAAGAACCAAGACATGCAAATAAAAAAGCAGCAATGAACGTAAAAGACGTGGCAAAGTGGGTTGGAACATTCCTAGAAGAAAACAGAGACAGCCTTGGATGCAGAGAAAAGCTTCAAAGTACAGGATTAATCTCCAGTCCTACACGAGAGAAGTACATCAAGAATCACAGCACACACCACGCGAAGGATTCAGTTTCTGTCAAAGTTTCATTTTCACTCTCGTTCACACAAAAAAATCACTATGTCTCATCATTCTTACTTAGATCATACATCCGACAAAAGGCAAGGATGAGAAAAGGTCAAAGACTTGTGCTCCTAGCCTTTGCACTGTCATGACGGCTGCTCATCACTCTCTATAAAAATTTTGTGGCGGATCATACCCACCATGGACAGCGTCATTATGCCCAGTTGAAGGAAGAGCAAAACACAAGTCCTGCTATCGTCAAAAGAGCACGGCACCTCCTCTCCCCCCCCCCCCCCCCCCACACCTCCCGTCATTCATTTAGCTCAAAACAAGCCAAATGTGCCCTTCATGGTGAACCAAAAATACATCAGAGTGCACGGTCTAGGATATAATACAAGTCTATGGAGAAGGCAGACAAGATATGACAAAGCACAAAGAAAGCAGCAGATCAATGCAAAAAGTCGAAGAAGAGTTATATTTAGAGACAGCAGGATCTTCTTGAAGATTTCACAAACACAAAAAGCAAACGCATAAATGTATCACATAATCACCCACCACTTCACAAACTATAATACATAACCACAATAACAAATCTTGTCCCTGAGATTTTATTTTGAGTGAATAGAAGCACATCTACACAATAACAGTCTTTTTGTACAGGGTAAAAGTAAGACAGATAGACAGAAAAAACCCCCAACAGAAACAGAGAAAAGAAGAACGACCTACCAGAGGCAGCCTCCAATCATCTTCCACCTCAGAGACAATTTCATGAAGACAAGAAATATCCGTCAGAATGCCTTCCGACAGAACCAGATATGGTCAACCCTGCTCCAAAAGCCACATGTCAGTAACAATCTCCTGTACAAACAAACACTTCCCCCCCCCCTTGCATTTCTTCTATACCATTATAATGACACTGTCCAAGACGCCAACCTGTCTAAGACAACCACTTTTCTCCTCGACAATAGGTGACCACCTTGGACAATTGGTCGCTTTTAAGGACAAGCGGGCTATCCCAGATTTTGGGGGTTTCCAGAAATCTTGACCAACACCAAAAGTGGGCATTGCCCTACCTATAGGAGAAGTTTGCTTTCTTTGGTGTGTATATTTGCTTGGTTATAGAGAAAACTCTCCTTGTCTTTTAAAGAAACTGAACAAGGGGAAAAAACTTTACCTTCCATTTTCTCAAAACAGCATTTTTCGGGATAGCCCCCTTGTGCTTAAAAGCGACCAATTTTGCCTGTAAATAAGACTGCAGCTTGAAAACACAGCTTATGGTAGTGACAAACCAGCGCAGGAAACGTCAGTATTACCTGAATTGATCTGATCATGGCACTCCACGCAGACCCGAGCTTCTTTGTTCTCCATGTAGGGCAGAAAGGCTTTCTGACTGCAGCAGGTTGCACACAGCACCTGGACACAGGGACAGATTCTTGCACTTTTAGTTAGAGTTTTACGGCACTTGCAACACAATTAGGTCATATAAGCGCCAAAGATTAGAGGTATTACTAGAGAGCACAAAAAAAGGAGGAGAGATAAGGATAATCGTATTTGATAGGAAAGAAGGCGCAAACCACACCAGAGCACCCACCAACCATCCACTCACACAAACAGATGGCTGACATACCAACAGATTAGCTTGACAGAGAACAAAGAGAGATTGACATAAATATCACCAATCACAAACATCATCAAGAGTGGACTTTGGGCTTATTTCCTTCTTGAACATAACCCAAAAAGATTATAAAGGAATTTTTTGGAAAATCCATATTGACTTATGCTGTGGTCTGTTAAGACTACCTGGGAACTATAATAATTTATTCCACTAATTTTTTTCAGGAGTAAACAATTGAAATTCTAAGTTATAACAAAAACATGACTATTAGAAAAACACTCCACTTATCTTTTTAAAGTCTAATGACTAATGAAATAGCATACTTATTCAAACATTTGATTTTCACATAAAACGGAAACACAAAGGTTTTACTATTTCCAGTGCCTTTATACAAACAACATCACTAACATACATTTGCCACATAACCTCCCCCCCCCCCATCCCTCCCATTTACATGCCTTGCTACACAACACCTTCCAAATTCCCCTCCCCTCCCTTCACATACCTTGCCACACCCCCATCCACCCCCCTTCCCACCCCCCCACATACATTGCCACACCACCACACTTCCCCCTCCCCCTCTCCCCCACATACCTTGCCACACGCCCGACAGTGGTGTCGTCTCTTCCACATTGTGAACTTGGCCTGACACAGCATACAGGCCGGGGCCTCCGCGTCCGGAATCCAGAACGGAGCCACGCTACCGATGTCGCTGTGCACCATCGAGGCCGACAAGGCTGCCTGGCTGGCCTCGCTCTGGTCCAGCCCCTCGGCGCCACAAGCAGCACCCGCCGCCCTTTGCCTCTCTTCCTCTTCCTGCAGGCCGCCCTCAAAGGGGACTTCATCCTGAGGCAGCTCTGAGGCGACCGGGGCCTGGTCTTTTCATATCGAAGTGCGGACACAAGAACAAAATCATGAAAGGTAATGAGGAGCCAGTGGAAATTAGAGCGTATTTAACATTTTCAGCCCCAAGACATTGGATTTATAATAGAAGTAATTATTAGGAAAATGCAAGAAGATACCGATTTTTTTTGGGTAGAACTACAGCACTTGCAACACGAATAGGTCATGTAAGTACCAAAGACCAACGGTGTTATAGACAGTAACAAACAAAGAAAAGGAAGGAGGAGAGAATGCCTGATGATAAATTTTTTTAATAGAAAAGAAGGAACAAACCACACCACAGGGCCCACCACCCACCCACTGATAACACAGAAATCATGAAATCACTGAAGCAAAGTAGTAGAAAGTCATAACTATCAACAAAACTGTGCATACAACAAGCAAGGTTCGACTTCAGCTTCCAACACTGCATTCATTATAACAGAAAACCAGTGACTGCTCATAGCATCAGAGTCAGAGATAGAAAGCAAGTTATCATATGTAATTTTTATGAAAATACACCATCCGATTTCTTGCATGAAAGCGTATTTATTATAGGCCTGCCTTGTGCATTATTATACAATAATCAACTGAAGATGAAGAAAAAAAATAATAAAAAAACAAACAGACAAATGAGAACAAACATACCACCTGCTTGCCCCATATCCATGTCATTACTTCCCTTCATCGTGTTCCATATTTGTATGTAATTTCTTAAAAAATACTCCCTTAGATTTAATAAATGTAAGAAAGTTTATAGGCCTGCCTTGCACTATGATCTACATAAGACATGATATACAAAAAGAAATGAAACAACATGGCAAACAAGAACATAGACATACCTCCAGCCTGCCCTACATCCACTTCAGTCCCTTCATCGTGGTCCATATTGAACTCCGGTCGAACCGGGAGGTTGAGAGTCGTCGGCCTCTTCATCCGAGAGCCGCTGAGGGCGTTGAGACTGCCGGCGGCCGAGTGGAGGTCCTCAGTGGAGCCCTCCCGAGAAGACTCCGAGTTCAAGTTCGACCCATCGTGCTGTGGAGAGTGAGGGTCAAGGTCTCGAGAAAGAACAGGGCTGTCGCTCTTTGCAAACATTCTCTGTCTCGATTCTGCCGATATTTCCCCCATGGAGGGCGGAGTGAAGAGACCCCCACCCTGCTCTGTCTCCTGAGGAACTGTCCCGTCAGAGAACTGGGGGGAGCCCGCGTTGGGCAAGAATTTCGTTGTTTTTGGCAGGTTGCTATTGAAGGAGGAAGGATCCTCGTCCTCACTGAACTCTGAGTGTTTGACAAAGGACGGGGACTCGAGGTTGATCTTGGACAGACCGTGAAGACTGTTGGGCCGGTTCTTCTTGATGAACGCTGGGTCCTTCGGTCGAGCCCCGATGCCCATACACATCGTGGGACTGCCTTTGTCTGCGACGTTCGGCGCCGAGTACATCGAGGTCATGTGAGACTCCTGGGAGGGAGGAGGAGGAGACAACTCTGTTGTAACGTTTCCTTTCACAGACTCCAGCCCAGAGGTCTTCACATGCCCCTTTGTGACATCCGGCTGTCCATGACTAGATATCGTATCAGCATCTTTGCATGTCTGCAACACTCCAGGACGCAACTCCTGCTCCGGCATATTCTGTTGGTTTTGCACGACCTCGTCGAGAACTCTTTCAATCTCCATCTTCCCTTGGATCAACGACTCACCAATACTCACAGCAGTTGGAGGTAACATTTCCTCCTTCACTTTCTCATCGAGAATTTCCTCAATTTCCATTTTTCCTGTAGAAAGAGAATTGTACAAGGTGTCTTTATCATTTGTGGAGGAACCCAAGCTACTCACTTGGCCATCATCGAGTTCTGAAACTTTTTCTTGCCGAGTGTTTAAGCCGAGATCTGCCACAAGATCTGGGTCTTGAAAATGCGACGCTGTGTCAACGTCAGGAACAGAACTAACACCCGACATGAAAGACTCTGAGGGGGGTCCCATGGAGTCTGCTTCTCTCATCTCGTCGGCAAGGCTGCGAGTTTTCAGACCAGAACTCTGACTTAGTTCAGTCTGAATGTCTGGGACAGATGGCGCCACGCTGCTCTCAGGACTCGTTCCACTAACCGGGCCATTGTTTCCATTGGTAGCTTTCAAAGCACTGAAATCCTCCATTGAGCCCCCGTCAAGTTCATTGAGGTACATGTTCAGCTCGTTATCGTCCAAGTCCTCGTCCACCGGGTCGTGGAACCCGACAGCCTGCTCCGAAACCGGGAACGTTTTCCCGGGAAAGCCATTCACGACTTCTGCTGCACTATTTCCGGAGTCACTACCGACCTCTGGTTTGCTCAAAGCTGTATTCAAATCTTCGCCTTGCGCGGGAGTTACAGTGTGCTCTCCCGTGGACGAGTGCGTGTCCCCGTTTTGGTACGAGGATTGAGAAGAGGGTGAGGATTGCACAGTTTCCCCGGCGCCTGGTATTAGGGTTTCAGAATCGACACTTGCATAAATAGGGCTTTGATTCTGGTCGCTTTCATTTTCCGCTTTAGTGTCCGTGGTGGCACTGACGGTGCTGGCAACAGTCGTGTCGCCGTGGCCGTCCACGAGAATGTCCGAGCGGGGAAAGGGCAAGGACATCAGCTCCTCCTCGCTGGCCGGTGAGAGGGCGTCAGTCTGCACCTCCATCGTCTGCGATGCGATCGTACCTTTGTGCTCAGAAGTACTCCGCTTGAGAACATTCTTCACCACGATATCCTGTCTGCCGATGGAGGTCAGACTAGTCACGAGCTCGCTTTTATTTTTGCCCACCTTGTCCGCAGGAAGGGAGTCAAAACCGTTGTGAGTGAGACTGTCCAGCTGTGGCTCTTGAATGAAACCTAACTTGCCATGAGTAAATCCCTCAAACGGATCATCGTAGGCAATACTGGAGGGTGGACCATCACTGGGCGGTCCCTCCGGAGAGAAGCCACTTGTCGTGGAGGAGAGAGCCTCTTCCTGCTGCAGGGAGGCCCAGTCTTGCTCCTGATGCTTCTGCAGGAACTCGATGTAGCCACTCGGTTTCAGCTCCTGACCTGGGACTATGGACAGAGCAGCTTTTTCTGGAGACAAAAAAATAATAATATAAGCGTTCAATATTTTGAATTTGGTGGCACTCACTCTGATGAAAAAAAAAATTTAAGTAAAGATTTCCCTCTGAGAGAAGAATATAACAGTACTCAGATAAATTTCAGTTTCAAACACACAAGTTATATTCAGAGGATTCTTTAAAAAAATGCGCCGATTATAACAAACCCACCCTCCCTGAAAAAGTAAACAAAACAGTATCACTGGAAACACATAAAATCTCATACAGGACAGCTTACAGACACAACCTTATCCTTCTGTGCAACTTTTTAAAAATCATTATAACCCCCTTTGTCTGTGAGGTAAGATTGCCTTTCTTTAACCCTATCCGTATGTCGTGTTTTACTATCATATCCATACGACGTGAGGAACTCTGTGCCACCACTTAACCCTATCCGTACATCGAATTTTACTATCATATCCATACGACGTGGGGAACTCTGTGCCACCACTTTCCAAAGAGGAAATTTACTCGTTAATCCGATTCGTACGCTATGTATAGCAATCTGTCAAAATTATTTTTTGAGAAATACTGAAAGTTTCAAAGAGATCTTTGTACTAGAAGTATTCTAAAATGTGAAGAATTAAACCCCCGAGGTACAAAATGACCCTTGGGCGTACGGATAAGGTTAAGCAAATTCAAAATTAATGAGTATCGACCTAAGCGACCGATGCATTCACAGACCCATAGGACCAAAAAATTGTACATCATTGCACATATGACTTTAAAACTAACAAATAAAAAACTATAAAAATTAGTCCTTTTTCAAACAAAAAGAAACAAAATTTTAACAGTCCAAAGAAAGTTTCAGAGATACATGCAATCCTGACCAAATTATTAAACCTTAATATATATAGTGCAGACTTTAACAGCTTTTAAGCCGACTGAACACTGAAGTAATTTTCTGACTTAATAACTTCATATAAAATAAAATCTTGTGCATATGTCATGACACAGCAAAGAAAAGAAAATACTTGACATGCATACCTTCTTCTTCAAACTCATCTAAAACTTTGTCTAGGTCAACAAAGTCCATCATGCACCGGTTTCAAGGAATGAAAGCTGTAAAAACAAACAAGATCATTACAACAACAAGAAAGAGAAAACAGTTTCATTTGAGTATGAGATCAGAAATGATTCCAAATTTGACCCATATCTTTTTAAAACAATAATAAGAGCAGGTGGGAACTCAAAATATAGAAAATAGTTTAGATTCATCACATTCTCAAAAGATTCTCAGACACAGTCATGGGCATTGTATCTCTAGAGCTGCGTTTGGCTAGGACACAGCCCAGCTGCACAGATCAAGTCATTGTAAATTCTACATTTACCTGCCTACAATAATTTCAGCACTGATTTAGCAGCACAGGGACTTTCTGAACTTTTCTTTCTGCGGCTGGTCATTTCCTTAAAATAATTACATGATATTGCGTACCAAAATTCAACTAGTAAGAATTTGGACAAAATGTTGTTGTTATGAAATAAAAGTAAACATCATCATAATCCCAAACTTTCCTCTCCCCCCTCCAAAAGAAAAAAATTGCAATGCGCCACACAACAGTCCTAAGCATGCGACCACTTCTGCTTGGGACCTGAAAAGGGACTTTCTTTTTCCTTCATTTTATAGAAGACCACACATGTCTAAGACGAACACTTTTCAGACTTTTCTCCTCGACGATGGGTATTCATTTTGGACAGGGTCTGGCAATAAAGACCTTGCAGCTTTGCACAGCCATGTCAATTGTGTGCACCAACAACCATGCTCAATTTGAACAAACATTGGCAGAAATACAAACTGGCATTGTTACCTACAAAAGAAAATATGTCTTTCTAAAATTCTCATAGTCATTGCCAAGCTCTGGGAAGCTTAAAAATCAAAGCAAATCATGATAATTCATAATCAAATGATCTTCTAAAATTATGAAGAAAAAATATTAAACTTGTTTGAAAGTGAAAGTAATCATTGCAAAGATTACTAATCACTTTTACAACTTTTGCAATGTACAGCAGTAAATAAATTGTCATGACTCAACATGCTACAAGCACTGAACTTTGAACACTGAAGACCCAACAAAATTGATGGGTTTTGGTCACTATAGATAGACTAAGTCACTAATAGTAATAGCAAAGATTCTCTACTACCAAGATGTTTCAATTGCTCAACCTCACGTCCGAGTAAGACTTGGGCCTTGTGTTAGCGCGTGACAGACAGTGATACAAGGGTAAACAAACGTTCCAGGGCTCTCGAGCTGAAAGCATGCAATTTTGTCAGCAGGCAGTGTGTGTGTGTGTGAGACAGAGAGAGAGAGAGAGAAAGAGAGAGAGAGAGAGAGAAAGAGAGAGAGGGAGAGAGAGAGAGAGAGAGAGGTGTTTGTTATTAGTTATATTATAATAAGAATAATTGATTCTTGTCATTTTCTCTCTGCGCCGGTTCACAGGCTGACCCAGTGCAATAGTCATTATATTTTTTGTACACAAATGACCAGTCCCATCTTCCGAATCCCACCTTCTGTTTCCCATCTCTCACGTCTTGTTTCCCGTGTACGTTATAACAATTTTCCATATCCCATATATCTCAACTTAAATTCTGTAAGGGAGCTTAGTTTTCCCCTCATCTAATGGGATGGAACGCTTGAAGCAGGCCAAAATATTGAATTATATAAATCACTGTCGTCAATGTCCAAATCCGTTGTGCTGTAGCACATTGTTTCAACAGCTTGATTAAATACTGTTTTATTCTGAATCAAGTTTTGGTCTCCATAAGATTTCTTCAATGTATCCTCTTCGGAAGTGAGTTTATTTTCACTTTCCCTAATTGTACAATTCGTCCAGCACGACTACAGGGATCCATTACTACGATGTCAATTCGGTCAGATCATTACAGTCAAGAGTCAAACTTTCATAAGAAATGTAACAATCTGAAAAGATTTATAATTAGGTAATGTGACTCTCTTTACACAGCACCACTCGTCCTAATATCACTTTATAAAAAAAAGAGACAAGGACAGTCTGCATCTGCCAAGTTCTTAGAGGGAAGTGACTGAGAGCCTTTCAAAGTCCTCTTGGCTTTCACGTGACATAAATTCCTGGAACGAACGAGAGGAGCCTTCTTTCCACTATTTCCATACACGATTTTAGAGTTGCAAGATGTACACCAGACAGCACCAGCTTCTTTCAACTTGCGTATAATACAATCCGATAGAAAATTGCCAATGACGTCTTTTTCCTCCAACCACGACCACTGAATTTGTTTTTCACTGTTTTGTCGATCTCAGTCACATTCTGACATCTATAACAATTCACAAACTTCAACTCCATCTCAAAAGTCGTTTGCACACACTACTTGATCTACGAAGAATAGTCGCAAATAATATGCCGTATCGGGTGAAAAAAGGATGTGTGTGTGAAAACTAAAGACACAAAGATGACAAAGGGTAGTCCTCGAGCACACTTTGCTTCGACGATCAAAACGAAGAGAAAGAAAGATTTCCCCGCTGAAACTGAAACTTCCTTCGCCAACTTTGTTTTGAAAAAAAGCACCTTGCCTTTCCGGAAATGACGCATGCGTACTTGGTCTTGGCTAAAGACTTTGCTAGCAAAACTTCTCTCTTTGCCGGGAGACTTCCGGCAACGTTTATTTTGTTACTGCTTAGCACTTTTCCAGTTTCGGCAAAAAATAATAATTTTCCAGATTTCGATTTCCAGCATGAACTCGGCTCTCTTCAGGCACGACCTCGACTCAGGTGCCGGAATTTTGCTTGCAGTTTATTAAATACCGGATTTTCCGGCATTCGCCGAAAAAGTGACATCTCTGTCATTTGTCTGGTAATTCTGTAATTAATGAAGTCGACCAGTGAAAACATGCTAGACTAACTACGACACTATAACCATCGTTGCGACTGGACAGCAATGAGTTAGATCTCTAAACATCTTGCTGCTTAAAATTATTAAATAATTTTGTTGGTTTTTGTGTTGATTTTCAGTTTTCCTTTCTT